CTGCCCCAAGCAGGTCGGCTACGACTCAACCGTGAGACGGGTAGTAGTTTTTAACAGTGAATCGTGGCCTTGAAATGTGGCACATAAATGCTTTGCATCTGACCGTCTCTTCTTTCCTCTTTTGCTAGTCTTTTGTCATTATTAAGCTCTTCCTCTTATTAATCTTTTTACTTGCTTATGTGCGTGCGTGCGTGCGTGTGCTAGACTGATTCCTATAGCCTGTTTCTGCCAATCGTAATGGCCTCGTCCGATTCAACCCTACCAGGGATACCAAGCAAATGGATGCAAGCAGCCCTGAGAGAAAAGGTAGAGAATAAGACAATCCATGAGATTGATCTTAGTTCAGCTTCGTCTATACAAGAGGAGCAGTACTTGATGCTTCGTGTCCTGTGGAAATCGCAACTGTATTACACGCTGAATCTAGCAAAGTTTGGTCTAGACGAATGGGCTAAGAAGGCAGCTAGCATGTTAGAAGAATACCTCTCATGGACAGACTACCTTGCAAGCTTCTCTAGTGACTTGAAGGAGGGAACATTTGCCCTTCCTCGGTTCTATCAAAAACAGGCCGCTCACATCCCAATGAATGCTACGTTTCGGCCCAATGTCACAGTCAGTCCGCCTCGCAGAAGCACTCGGCTGAAAGATCTAGCGACAGGCATCAAGAAGCTTTCATTCGATGCACCCAACGAGCCACCAGTTACGCCCAGAGCTCAGTCGCCCGTCGAGTTCAATGATACCCCAGCGGAGGGCAGTGCCACTAAGGAAACACCTCCCTGGGAACGGTCACATGGGCCCCAAGAGCTTCTAGACCTCAACTACCCAAAGACTAAAGATGAGCAAATCGTGAATACAGCTTTGATAGATTTTCTCAATGCGTTCGTTATCCATCGTAACTTCGGATCTTATTGGACGCTGCATCGGAAACCTTTCGTGGCCAGTTTCAGACATGGGTCCTTTGAAGCTCGCACGGACGGGTGTCTCGAAGGCGGAGATTCGGAAAGTTTGAAGACATATGCAATTGTGGAGGTAAAGCCAATGTTAAGGCGAAATCAATTAGCACGCATTGCAATGCAGGAGGCAGCCGAAATGGTTGCCTGGATCAAAGCTGAGCCTGACCCTACTGGCTTCGTAAGCAGCTGTGGCAGGTGGGTGAACTTCTCTATGTGATTCTTTGTGCCTTGCGCATACTGACAAGTTAGTCGTATTTTGGTCTCCCAAGATCGACATGAGATCTACCTCACCTTTGCCGAGTATGGTGAGAATTATGTCAGGTATTTAAACAACACACAGGGCAATGATGAAGCACCTGGCTTTCTAACAATGCACGGATTCGGGCCTTGGGATACTGGCAGAGTTGGGGATATGGAAGATCTAGGTCGGATCTTGCTCGCAATTGCTTTGAGGGCTGAGAGAGGCGATCTGGCACCTAAAGAGTGACCTCATTGCTCCTGCAAGTGGAATATGGTAAAATATTTTTTCCGGAGTACTGGAGTGAGAACGATATGTGCCCCTAGAATGTATATTTAATGTAATTCGGAAACGTATTACTATTTTACACATTCCTTGAAAGAGCTGTGCCGGCTTGAACAACGTAGTATAAGATCAATATGCCTTCGAGTAAGTCTCTCGTCGTTCTTCCTATGTATAGCCTTGTATGCTACAGAACAACAGTATGGAGCTGGGAAGGTGACTGGAAAGATCAATGGTATGTTGGAGTGGAACCCTAATGAAATGGTTGCGCAGTTCCAGCTAGTACGGAAGAACTGGGTACTTCAACCATTTTGCTCGATGCAAAGAGGGGGGGGGGGTGCTCTTATGCAACGGAAGCTTAAGCACATAAATCAACAACAGTTAAGTTTGCAGATCCGGCAGCGCATCCGATGAGACGTTTTTATATAGTTTGCATGGCATAGGCGCAGAAAATAGAAAAAGAAGATCTACAGTCTAAATTAGTCTATTCGAATGCTCTATCCCATATTAGCTCTTATACCAACTCCATTAAACATCCGAAAACCCCAGCGCATCCTCATGACTACCCATCCTAGGCACCGATCACTTTGAAGGAGCAGCATCCGCCTTCCAAGCCAACCACACGAAAGCGATCACCATTTTCACCCCCGCTGCCATCCACAACGCGGACTGCATCCCCCCACTGCTCCGACTCAACCATCCACCGACAATAGCTCCAACCAACAGCATCACCACACTGCCGATACGACGGTTCCGCTTCGGGTTGGTCGTTGGCACAGCCGCCAGTTTTGGGTCCGATGCGACGTCGAAATACACGCTGGTGAGAACCACTGTCGGGATCTCATTGTATCCCAGCGCCCGACTGGAAGTGATGGAGCCGGCGGACTGGAACGCCAAGAGTGCAATGGGGATCAGTTCCAGGAAGAGAGGCCCGCCTGTCAGGGAAGCATCGTCCGAGGTGTGTGGAATGAGATCACCTTCGATCAGGGCGACGGCAATGATGACCAGAAGGGACTGGAACACGAATGACAGAAAGAGCGTGCCGCGGCGGCGGGCTCCGGCGCGGCGGGTGACGTTCGCGAGGGTAAAGGCGCCGATGAAGAAGAATGCGATTGAACAGAGCGACTTCAACCAGCCCCAGGGCTTGCTGGTTGGTTGGCCTGAGGCTCCTAACCCGAGGAAAATGGTGTTTCCTGTTCATGATCAGTATCGGGAATGGTCTATTGTTTCGGAGGGGGTTGGGGCTGTCGGAACATACCCGTCTGCATCGCCAAGAAACAGGACCACGCATTGTAGGCGCTGCTATCACAGAGTCCGGTCGTGAAACAGAGCAGAAGGCAGATGAGGTCGGTATACTTGACATCCATGGATTGGGTCCACCATGTTGAGAAAGAGGGTTTCGCTGGTGGTTGGTGGGCTTCAAGGTCGGGCAGATCGCCCGAAGACGGATTTCCGCTCATTGGTTACAGTAGGGTCTGATGAGGATCAGATAAGGATTCAGGGGCTCAGGTGGTTAATAGAATCGTGTGCGCAGGGTGATTCTAACTTATAGCCCTAGAATGCTTGCAGCGAATTGACCAAGGAGGGTGAAATGGCAGATTTGAGCGCGCGGGCGCAAATTTTGCAGTTGGAGTCATTGGGGTCGGAGAGAGTCCGATGTCGCCATAGTTTATACTAGACTAGGGATGATCGTTGTCGTCCGGAGCAAATTTGACCCTCACTATTTCGGAAAGGTTGAAGTCTCCCGGTCACTACAAATGGCTGGTGCCTAATTTTCTGGGCATGGTTCGCGATTGCGACATTTGGCCCTAAGCAGAACCATTGGATTGTATTTCTTCTGCTGCAGAAAGAATTCCCCATTTTCATTTCACGAGTGGACCAGGCCCACGCCCCGCACGGATAGGGCTGACGACGAAGCAATCATCATGTACTTCGGATGTATCAAGTTTCCAGAGGGGGTTGAAGCCCTCAGCCTTATGTAAAGCTAAAGAATTATAGTTAACTACTTTCCGAGTCAGTTCCATCAGATGGGTAATATCTCCGAGTACAGCCCATCAATGGTAGCCATGCAGTTCAATACGGTATCGGATTCCTATTACCTATTTCAAGTTGCTGCATGACAGCGGCCCAGCCAATAGCGAAAAGTCTAAATGGGTTGACAGCGTAAGCGGAAGGTAAGTAATTTATTTTGGCAAATACCGATTTTCAACATCCTTTTCGCTATTACTAGTAGCTACTACTAGTAGTTGAATCGGCATATTGGATCAAATCTAAACCAGCAAGTCTCTACCCAGGTAGATTGATGATCGTCTACTATTGGTGGTACATTTTCCCGCTTCAGTATCACGTCACGTTTTCAACTGCCTCAATTGACGCTGATTACCACTCATCCGTACCTACCAATAGGGTCTTCCCGCTATTCTTGCATCATCCCGATGTTCTGGGTTTCACCACCATGACTGATTAGCCAATGAGTACAGCGCCCGGGCAGCTGCCCTAGACAGTAACAAGCTTCCATCCCGGCTACGTGATACCACATATGGTCTTGATCCAGATCAATGACCACTCGAGCTACTCCGATCGAGGCGGAGAACCCTCCCACGCGCATGGACGGTCCAGACTGAACCGTCCGTCGTTCTGACTGGATACCACTCAGGGAGCAAACTTCCTTTTGCGGACTCTCGAGCCATAAGTGGCTCGCGTTATAGTCAATGACCTTGTACACACAAAGCATGTCCACGAAGTGGTGATGAAAGCTGTCGTCATCACCAAATCATCAACGCCACCGAGTCTGGTATTAATAAACCCCCCGCTGCCGAGCCAATTCTGCTATTCCATATTGTCTATTCATGTCAAACTGAACTGAACTGAACTGTCAATCTCGATCAACATAAATTCTCACTAGTACGTGGGTGCCCAGACTTGACTCGAGGAAAGTATCAGGTAGTGACTTAGCAGGTCATCACTATGCCGATCTTGTCGAAAGCCCAGGAGACGTTACGCCAAGGTCGGGAGACCATACAACAAGCAATGGGCTCTGCTACCAGCTCTGATGAGCCGGACTTCTCAAAATGGAATACGGAGGAAATGCTGGAGACCAGTGTTGACGAACACGGACACCCGGTACCTGATCTCTCATACACTGATGGCGCCAAGTTGTCGAAAGGAATCCTCGGCAAAGACAAGGCGGATGCGTATGAAGCGGCGAATAACGACTTCCGTGAGTGCCACTAGGCCGCTCTTTGTATCATAGCATGCCGCTGTCCGACCCGGCGCACTCCTTCCTGTCTTTCCTTGATGGATTCTGTTGGATGAGGAGAAAAGGTCAAAATGTTATAATGAAATGTACGTATGTATGCATGAATGAACCAAATCTAGTGAGTTGCTGTGTCGGATCATTCGTTATCCGGCCGGCAACATTTCAGGGTCGAATGGAGAAACATGTGTAACTGTAGATGGGCCCCATTAACTTGTATATGATGAGTATGACATGCATTGGGTCGACTAGACTTCCTTGGCACGGTCGTTATCGTGGAGATTGCTATGGCAACCACGCCGCCCGCGGGCTGGCTTCTCCCTGCCTGAGGCCTATACCATTCCGGAAACGGCAAAACCCAAACGAGCGTCACTGGCCCGACCGCCATGTGAAGCCGGAGTCTATCTTCAGGTTCGATTGCAAACGCTTGCGTTTGTTATTAGACCTCTTCCTGATTCAGCGTTGTTTTGGAGATACCAGGGCCTCTTTGTTCGCCCCCCTTGCGCTCATTACTGCATGTTTCTCTCTTTCAGTTTCCATCGCAGGGACCCCTCTCCCGTGAACTAACTCTCGGCTGTTTACCCCCTGATTGAAAGGAGTGTCAATGTGCCTGTCAATCTTGGGTGGATACTGATCCCTTTATATTCAAGTCTCTAATTCAGCAAGAAGGGAAGGCACCACTTGCTCCCTGCGCCGGGTCACAGCGTCTTGTCTCTCTCCCTATTTGAATACCGTTTCGGATCGCCTTCCCGCCGGTAGTGGTGCCCTTGTCTGTATGTACCATCAATTAGTTAATCGCCAACGTGAGCTCAGCATTCAGTTTGTACAGTTATTGAGGGAACATAGTTTGGATATGTCCTTGGATCCACGGTTTTACCACCATGTTGGTCATGGCTATGGGCCTGGATCACAATCATCCGCCTCGTCGTCCTCCGACACTTCCGCCCTAACGAGCATCACCAACCCGTCAATCCGATCGACGACTGCTTCCGCAGCTGCACTACGGTCGAACGCTTCCAGTCCTTCTCTGCGCGCGAGGGAAGGCGGGACCATGCACATCACATATCAAGATGGCGTCACGAGTCCGTCTCCGGGTGGTAATGTCCGTGTCGTGGTTCGGGTGAGGAAGTTCCTGCCCAGAGGTATGTAGGGCGCGTGCACGCCGGTAGGCGTACAAGGATAACAGTTGACTAAAATTGGATGTTCTAGAAATTGAGCGCAATGCGGAGTGCTTGATTACCATGGACCCTCGGACGCAGACGACCAAACTACGGGCGCCCAAACTTGACGCAGAAGACGAGGGGAAGCCGAAGTCGCAAGCACGGGGGAAGGTCCTGGAGGATAAATCATTCATCTTCGACAACTCTTTCTGGTCTCACGATACAGATGACGATCATTATGCGCACCAAGAGGATGTGTACAACTGCCTTGGAGAAGAATTTCTCGATCACAATTTCGAAGGATACCACACCTGTATATTCGCCTATGGTCAGACAGGTTCCGGCAAGAGTTACACCATGATGGGCACTCCGGACCAGCCGGGCTTAATTCCACGGACCTGCGAGGATCTGTTTCAGCGCATCGAGAGTGTTCAGTCGCCCGATATCAGCTTCACGTCCGCGTTTCCTATTTCGAGGTTTACAACGAACATGTCCGCGACTTACTGGTGCCTCGGACCGATCCGCCCCATTACCTTCGGATCCGCGAGTCACCCTCTGAAGGTCCCTACGTGAAAGACTTGACTGAGGCAACGGTTAAAAACTTCGCTGAACTAATGAAATACATGCGCAAAGGCGATGTTTCCCGCACGGTAGCGAGCACCAAGATGAACGATACCTCGTCCCGCTCCCACGCAGTTTTCACAATCACCTTGAAACAAATCCACCATGACCTCTCAACCGACGAGACGACGGAACGCACAGCACGAATCCGCCTGGTTGACCTGGCAGGATCGGAGCGAGCGAAGTCTACGGAGGCAACCGGGCAGCGACTACGCGAAGGATCGAACATCAACAAATCGCTCACGACATTGGGTCGAGTTATTGCCGCCTTGGCAGATCCGAAGCCAGGCCGGTCCGGCAAGCGGAAAGGCAAGGACGTTGTTCCCTATCGCGACTCAATCCTCACCTGGTTACTCAAAGACAGTTTGGGGGGCAACTCGAAGACCGCCATGATTGCCTGTATTTCCCCGTCAGACTACGAAGAGACACTATCTACCCTCCGCTATGCAGACCAAGCGAAACGTATCCGTACTCGTGCTCGGGTTAACCAAGATCATTTATCTGCTGCTGAGCGCGATAAACAGATCGCAGAAATGGCGGAGACGATCCGTACGCTGCAGCTGAGTGTCAGTTTGGCGACGGCCAACCGTCGAGAAAGCGAGATTCAGAATGAGAAACTGGAGGAGTATCAGCAGAAGGTGGAGAAGCTGCAGCGATTAATGGAGGAGACGAAGATGGTCAGTGAATGCAAGATCAAGCAGCTGCAGACAGAAAATGAAGCACTTCGCAATCACCTGAAGTTGGCCCTCGATAGTTTGAGAAATCCGATCCCACCCGTGACCGTTGAGAAACGCAGAGGCGGTCTTTCGCCTGTGACTGAATACAATAAGGAAAACCGCCCCGGATCGCCAATTTCAGATGTGGAACCTGAGCCAGACCTGATCTGGGAAGATGAGGACACGATCCGGATTAAGGGTCGCGAACTTGAGGCGCATGACATGCAGGCTGATATGGAGGATCTGCTTATGGATATCAACCTGTTCAAGCGTAAGCTGGCCTCCGATCATGAGCGATTCCGAGCATCCCAGAAACAGGGAGATTGGAAACGACGGCGAGCGCTAGGAGAAGTTTGGACGAATAACCGATGAGGTTGGACGGCTTGGCCTGCAGGGTGGCTTTCTGATTGACGGGCGCTGCGGAATTTTGGGTGTTTGGGGGTTCCTAGGTTTCTGGTGGCAGAGTGCTTTTCGTACATGCTTTTCGTTTATGATATCTGGATGTCTTTTTTTCCTGTTGGGCGGATATTTTGGGATCTTTCTTTCGTTGTTTATTTTTTATGGTTTGTATTTTCTTTCTGGTATTCTTCCTTTAATTCCGCGATGAATGACGAGGTCTAGTGTATATCCGGATATGACGCATGATTGAATGATTGACTTGATATGGAATACATGTCCGATATTGGTTATGATTCAATAGAATCCGTGTGGAATATGAAACTATCTACCAAGGTAAAGAGGGACAGCAGATAGAAACTAGTACTAGGAGTCGTAGTACGGAGTACTTTAAAGGCTAAACCACTACACAGTACTATTAGTAGTAGTAGTGTAAACAGCGTGGACGAGACTAGCGCTGCATTAGTGCTAGTGTCGGCTTATGGCATCATGCCGAATTTGGTGAGTCAAAGTCACGATTTCATTTGAAAGTCCCAATCTCATTTAATCCCCACAACCCTCTATCGAAAAAAAAGTCGCCAATGCCCCTCCGCTCCGTCGTCATCGTCATTTAGCCCGCTTTTTTCCACCATGGCGAACCCCGTCAATCCTGCGCAGACTTCTCCTCCCTCCACTTCACCAAGCCCTGCACCTGCGACGCAACAATCAACCCCCGACATGTCCTCCCAGCAACCCCCCTCCCAACCTCCGAACGGCGCATCCAAACCCGCCAAGCCACCGAAACAGCCTAAGTCCAAAGATGCCCCTCCCGCCGCGGGCGGAGCTCCAGGGGAGGAAAAGCTCAGCCCAGCTGAACTGAAGAAAAAGGCGAAGGCCGAAAAGGCCGCCCGCAGAGCTAAAGAAAGGGCTGAGAGAGATGCCAGCGGAGGTGCAGGGGCCGGACCAGGGCCCAATGCCGCACCGGCTAAAAAGGGCTCAACCGGAGGAGGCGGCGCTGGAGGAAAGGAGGCTCCGGGACAGCCATACAAGAGTCAAAGACATCGACGCGGATCGGCTACACAGGCCATCGCTACGGAACAAAAAAAGAAGCAGGAGGATAAGAACGTCGCTGTCTTCGGTCATTTGTATGGACAGCCGAGGAGGACCACCATCGCCGGTGCCGGAAAGGAAGTACACCCTGCCGTGTTGGCGCTCGGTCTGCAGATGAGGGATTATGTCGTTTGCGGTAGCAGTGCTCGCTGTGTGGCGACCTTGCTTGCTTTCAAGCGGGTGCGTATTTTGGGCTCTTTTTTACTTGGTGGCGCGCTGTTTTATGCTGATCGTCGTGTTTTAGGTCATCGAGGCTTATACAACCCCCCTGGGAACCTCCCTTTCCCGTCACTTGACTACCCACCTCTCTCATCAGATTACCTATCTCTCTACATGCCGTCCTCTCTCCATCAGTCAGGGTAACGCTATCCGTGCGCTTAAACTGGCAATCTCCTCCATTGATCCTTCCGTCCCCGAGGCCAGCGCGAAGGCAACGCTGAGCGATTTTATTGACAACTTCATCCGTGAAAAGATTACCGTGGCCGACCAGGTCATTGCGACCAGCGCCGCAGAGAAGATCCAGGACGGCGATGTGATCGTCACTTTCGCCGGCAGTTCGATCGTGAAGCAGACGCTTCTCACCGCATACAAACAGGGCAAGAAGTTCCGCGTGTCCATCATCGACTCCCGTCCGTTGTTCGAAGGCAAGAGCCTGGCCCGCACGCTGGCCAATGCGGGGCTAGAAGTGCAGTATTCTCTTGTCAACGGTATCAGTCATGCTATCAAGGATGCTACAAAGGTGTTCCTCGGCGCACACGCCATGACCAGTAACGGACGACTCTACTCGCGTGTCGGTACAGCGCTGGTCGCCATGTCGGCCAAAGAGCGCGCCGGCGGCGTGGAGGTACCTGTCATTGTCTGCTGTGAGACCATCAAGTTTACGGATCGTGTCGCCCTTGACAGCATTGTCGTCAACGAAATTGCCGACGCAGACGAGCTCGTCCCCAGCCAGCCCTTGAAGCAGTTGACGGGTCTACCGGCCCCCGCTGACGAGGCCGATACGAAGAAAGGCGATACGAAGAAGGGTGGCAATAAGGCTGCCGCCAGTGCTCCCCCCGCAGAGTCAACACCCCTGCCCGAGGGCTCTTCTCCTCTTGCAAACTGGAAGGAAACGCCTAATCTACAGCTCTTGAACATCATGTACGACGTGACCCCAGCCGAGTACGTCGACATGGTAGTCACAGAGATGGGCAGTTTGCCGCCAAGCGCGGTTCCGGTCGTGCATCGCATGAGTACGAACTTGTGAATGATGGGTCCTGTGGTTCTTTGTTCCCTTTGATTCTCGTGAAATGAAAAATGTAGCTCAGGTTATCGGGATATCCATCGGTTTTTAATAGATTCGGGCTTTGCCAGAAGGTATGATTCAATATGTATGGTATGTGTAGACGACTTCCAGCCATTATACTACTATCATGGTGTCCTCCAAACCCGTAGTAACTACGGAGTAAAATAGTTTAAAATCCATGCCACTTGTGATAAGACCACAGTCACATGGAGATAAACCAAAGCGGTATAATACTGCCGTCAATTCCAGATGTTTACATCCATCATCTATACATTCACCTCATCGGCAGTGCATATCTCCCAAAGCAACCTTCTCAATTATCAATACCTCACTCATCCAAGCACACATAAACTCCAATCGCAAATCCAACATCAAACCCTTCAAAATGGTACCTTCCTTCCAATCCAATCTCCAACCCAACCCCCCTCACCCACACATTACTAACAAGAAGGGGAAATCAAAAGAGCAAAGACTCAACCCCAACCCACCTACACATGCACCATCCCCGTCTCGCCGACTACTTCGAAGACTTCACGCGCCCGCACACCTCTGCAACCCCCAGCACCACCACAACCTCCCACCTCTACAACAACCACACCGTAACCTACGGCTCCTCGTCCCCGACCCTCGTCCCCTCCTTCCTGCCCATCGAGGACATCTACGTCGCGCCGCAGTATCAGCCCCCCAACCCGGAGGACGAGGACGATGTTGTCCCAGACCAGCATGCCGCGTTTGGGATTAGTCGGGCGATGGAACGCCGCCGGGAGGCCGTTTGGAGGGATTTGGGACTCGAGCGCTTGGTGAATTCGGGGGGCAGTGGGAAGACTGGGGTTAGGGTTAAGGAGGGGGGAAGACGCATGGGCGGGAAGAGGGTTGTTTGTTTGCGGTGATTCTTCTCGTCTCTTTTCTTTTTTTTCTTTTTTTTCTTTTTTGTTCTTTCATTCTTTCTTTCTTTGCTTTTTAGGGAAAAGGGAGGAGGGGTTTGGTGGTTTAGGCTTGGATGGGTTCGGTTGATACCCCCTTTTGTTTCTTCTTTTGTTTTTTGTTCTTTATAAAAGGTAATGCTTCATTATCATTATTACACCTGACGCCCCGCGTTATACATGCTATGGTATATCTATTTAATCCAAGGTACTGTACTTCAGATGCGGATGACGTCCACCCGTGTCCGTTCGTAGAGTTTGTGGCTGATGTGCTTTTGTTCGCGTTCTTCTTCAGTGATTTCTCGTGGGTGGATGGCCATTTGCGCGTAGGTTCCTGCTGCTCGGCGTTTGGAGAGCGTGCCTGGGTTAATTACCAGACGCTGTCTACTACCTGTTGTACATTGTTAGTTTGTGTTGGGGAGATGGGTTGGGGATTGGGTACGCACTTTGACGAACGGGGGCAGCATGCTGGGGACGATTAGCACGTCTGGTCGGACGTTCCACCACTCGCCTAGCTTCATGTAGCTGACGTCCAGGGTGGCGCCCGTGGCTAGTCCGTTCTCGATCCCGGGCTTGGGGAGAGCGTCCCGCGATGACGGCGGGAAGACTGGGTAGAAGTGTCTTTGTTCGACGAGGTACTTGGACAACCGGGTGAGCAGGTTGCCTTCTTTAGGTTTGCCGTGCAGAGCCTCTTCTCTCCGCAGCTCGTAGAGGACGTCGTGCGAGCACAAGCCAATGACCGTTTCGTTGAGAGACAGGGTGACCGGGTTGGAAACCATGCGCACTTGCTTGGGCAAGCCAAGCTCCTTCTTCGGGAGCTGCTCCTGCGGCCAGGAGACGTGCTTGCTCACGGCGTCGCGGACGGAGGGAACCATCACGATCGTGATGTTGGGTACTGCCGCGACTAATCTCTGTAAGGGTGCCGTGATGCAGTGCCGGAATACGGTTGTCAGGGTGGCTGTGTCTGGGTCGTATCCGTTGGTTGCTGGGAGGTCGAAGTCTCCCGATGCTAGTAGTGGATGCTCGATATCTAAGAATGGACCCATGAGGACGAGTCCGTCTGCGTAGCTCTCGGCCGCTTTCTGGCATATCTCATTGAGCGGCTCGAAGTCTAAGTTGTCGTCCGCTGTGTACGGCCCCGAGGAGATCATTACATTCAATGGAGAAGAGCCAGCCTCCTCCAATCTTTCGTTGATACCTTCCATGGTGGGCACAGACGATGCAGCGGGCGGTAGGAGAGGTGTGGATAAGACTTCCTTGACCGAGAAGTAGTTCCCGGACGCATTGATGCCTCGTAGAGCAACAATCTGCCCCGGGAAGAAATTCACGGACGGTAGAGTGTCCACTTTCAGGGGTACACGCACTCCAGCTCCTGCCCGCCTCGAGGTTTCGAGTACAAGAGAGGCTGGGTTAAGCTTTCCTTCCATGCTATCTGACGCGATGCGTCCGACCGCAACAATCTCACTGGTGCTCTGGGTCGCTGCGCTGCCGAAGGGGAGGTCCTCTGTTTCGTATTCTTTCTGGAACAAGGCCATGAACTCGTCAATGCGGTCATCGAGGATCTCGGACGCTTCGGACAGTCGCATTGCCATTGGCTTGTATCCGAACTTCTTCAAATCTGTGTTCGCAGTTGGTCGTATCCGAGCCTCTGAAAAGGGAGCCATAGGGGTCTCTGGCATTGACAAGTGCGCGTTGAGGGTTTCAAGCGTCTGGCCGGGATTTTGGCGCCCCGAGAAAGGAACAGATCTGTGCCCGCAGTCAATCATATTGTTCCAGAAAGGTAAGATAGTCTTCTCCAAGCATACTGCACTCCATCTACTCTTGCAGAATCATTCGCGGGGTTTCGCAGGGTCTTAGAACCGATTGGCGAATCGACCTTTCCAACTTTAGATGCAGAGGGAGAAGCAAAGTCCGCTTTCCGCTTGGCTGAGTTCGGCGTTCGACCATGAGACGCAGTTGGGGTTAATCCGTCTAATCTATAGCTTTCATGTCAACAGTCCCCCCTCTAACTATAGCATATCTCTGCGACTTACATCCCAAAAACATCAGTTGCTGCTGCAGCGCGCGGGGTAGCGGTGGGTAATTGTCGGCCGGGCTTGCTTCGAGTCTCTCGCTCCAGCAATTCCTGAACGTCGCGCTTAAACAGCCTCACAGTCTCTAAATTCAACTTGGTCTCCTCGGAGCCCATCTTCAAGCAGAACGATTCCCATTTGTAAAATAACTCCTGCGGGGCAATAGAGTGGACTCGCAGAAGGGACTGAAGCTCTGCAAGGACGTCTTTGGGAAGCCCATCGGGAGAGGAAGCTGCGAAGAGCTCATTGAGCTCTCCAACAATATCCTCCATGGCGACACCGAGTCAGTTCCAACGGCGTTGCGTTCAATTGTAGGACCAAAGTGAAATCACCTCGATGCTGTAATCCGATATTGGAGAACGCGCGGAGAACGCGCGCGCCGCGTGCTGGGCACGGGGACGGGAAATTAATTAGAGGAATAAATGACCGCCTTCCCGATGCAGCGATGGGCTCAGGGACAAGTCCACGTAAGTACTCCGTCTATTATTATGTCGACCGATGATCCTGTGGGCCTGTCGATCAACACTGAGCCTACTCAGCGCTGAAACCTGCGCGGAAAAGAACAAATCTTCCAGGGGAGCTGCCATTGTCGCTAGTCTATATTATGCGAGCCATTGCCCCCTGAATTACAAACCTAGGATACATCCCATAGACTTGAACTTAATTGAATCACATACTATTCCTGGCAACCATGAGCGCAGCATCTGAACCCACTGCCCCAGCTGTGTCAGCCCACAGCGGTGAGGCGGTCGACTCACAGACAAGTGCGCCTTCTGCAGCTGTTGAAAATTCCAGTAGCACTGTCGAACAGACTCAGCCTGCAACCAATGGCAAGGATATTGAATCAGAGCTCCCATCCTCCGCCGCTGATGGGCTCATTCAGAAACCTTTCCCCCGCCCTCTCGACTCGTCCAAGCCGACTCCGCCTGCTGAGCTTATCCCCGACCAGCAGGAAAAATACAATTCTGTTCTCAAGGCCGTTTCCGCTTGGACAACAGTGCCGACAACGTCTGCGAAGAATGCCCCCACGGAACCCATCACTGACAATGAGCGCATGTTCTTGACCCGGGAATGCTTGCTTCGATACTTGCGGGCGACAAAATGGAACGTGTCCGAAGCCATAGCACGGCTGGAGCGTACACTGACGTGGCGTCGTGAGTACGGCGTGGAGAAGCTGACTGCGGATTTCATCTCAGTTGAGAATGAGACGGGAAAGCAGGTTCTCCTTGGATATGACATCCATGCGCGTCCTTGTCTCTACCTTCTGCCGTCGAATCAGAACACGGAAAAGAGCGACCGCCAGATTCAACATTTGGTTTTCATGCTGGAGCGGGTGATTGATATGATGGGCCCGGATCAGGAGACTTTGGCGCTGATTGTCAATTACAACGAAACGAAGTCAGGTCAGAATGCAAGCGTCGGCCAGGCTAAACAGACTCTAAACTTCCTCCAAAATCACTACCCGGAGAGAATGGGCCGAGCGTTGGTCATCAACAGTACGTGACGCTCGTGTCTTTGTCTTTTTCTTATACTGATTTCACTGTGTGCGTTAGTGCCCTTCATGATTATGGGATTCTTCAAGTTGATCACCCCATTCATTGATCCTTTGACCCGGCAGAAGCTCAAGTTCAATGAGGACCTGCGTCAGCATGTCCCTGCCGCCCAGCTGATGAAATCTATGGGAGGTGATGTCGAGTTTAGATACGACCATGCGACCTATTGGCCAACTATGAACCAGCTTGCTGACCACAGAAGGGCTGCGTACCGCGAGCGGTGGATCCAAGGTGGAAAGCGCATTGGCGAATACGAGAACTACTTGAAGACGGGGAGCAGTCCCAGTCTGGCGCAGCGAGAGGCCTCAAATGGCGCTCCAGCGGAGTAACCATCTGCGTATCGACAACACAATAATGGGAACCACTCTCAACATCCTGTCGTTGTGTCCTCTGTATTGGGCTTCAATTGCATGATTAATGTTTACTGCCCCTGCATCTCTTACATAATGTTCCTTAGCATATTGTTGCGTTCATCTTATACATAAACATCTAGACCGCATACGTTACACCATGCTTACTTTGTTACGTTCCTCCAGCATCCATGAACTGGTGAAAAGAACTTTCGGATCATTTTGTCTTGTTTTGTTTTGTTTTCATACACTGGCCCTTCACGCTGAACAATTCCTTTCATTCCGGTCAAACAGATCAATCTATTGGGAGGATTATTATTTTGGTCAAGAAGCAAAAGCGTATCTTGTATATAGACACACCACTTCTCTGAGGATGCCCAATGACTTGATATTAATAGATCATCATTCTGGCGAGACATGCATTCCCATACCGTTGAACCCCAGATCGGTGTCACGTGTGCGATGGCGGGGTATCTCTTGGTGACCTGCGTGTGTGATATCAGACGCTTGGTGGGGGATCAATAGATTCTGTCGTAAGATTAAAGCAGTCTCAACTGCCATGCTTGTCGATCCGAGATTGTCTCACCACCATTTTCCCCTCTCGTTTCAAACGACCGGTGTTGACCGTTATACGACTTCCCAGCAACGGAGTTGTCGATCTACAAACTTAAAAGGACGAAAAGCTAGCTAGTTCGTTTGATAGGGTACTACTAGTATATTTACTTCTATATATTTGTTTTGTTGGTTTTCTCCATCAACAATCGATATCTCCATCTATATTACGATTATTATGATCTCCTATATTGTTGGTCGTACTTAAACTCTCACTGGTGTTCCCAGCTCCCCACCCCACCAGTTTGGCTCTTACGACGTTGTTTGTTCTTTGTTTCCTGGTACATACATTGGATACCTGGAAGAAAAGACAGAGACACCTCGGATACTAAGCCTCTGAGTCGCCTATTGTACCCCACAAGGTAAACCGTGGCCCCTCCCAACTACATGCAGGTTCCCAGCCATACGTTGATCCCGGCGTCCTCTCACCGTTGACCGTGATGCCGATGGCGGACAAGAACCCCACGGGCAGAATCAGACTGCCGCCCAGACCCGCCACGACGACCGACGACACTACGGGTGCTGCTCCTCCTCCCGCTTCCCCCATTACTACGACGACTCCAATTACCACTTCCATCAGCACCACCAACAATCTCACCTCCATCCCTAGTCGTCACCCTGTGTCTGGTCACGAGGGAGGTTTTGTGCAGCCCTCCTCATACCTCCGCCCGCGCGGTCTTTCGCATCCAATGCCCCCAGCCCAGCCCGAAAGGGCGATCGATCGGGAAGAGCGACAGGGCCTAGTGAGTTTCAATTTTTCATAGAGTTTTGTTTTCTTGGTCGGGCCTCTTTTTATTCGCCCTAGTCATTTCATTGCCGGCTTGTTCTACCCTATTTCTCTCTTCCCCACTGGTTGGTATTGGACCAGCCTTGGGCTTGTGGCCCCCTCAGACCATCACGCTACTACCTCCGGCCACGAGCTGCAATTCCCTACCATTCATTTGCCTATGTTCTTCTTTCCAACCACGCTCAGCAAATCTAGTTGGGGACTTTGGCTAATAACTCTCCCTATCGATCATATCTGTGTGTAGCGTGCCATTCGCAACTTCCTCAAAGTCCGTAACAGTTACGATGTCCTTCCGCTCAGCTTTCGGCTTATCATCTTCGACACCTCTTTGTCAGTGAAAGAGAGTTTGAATATCTTAATCCAAAATGGCATGTACCTCCCTTGTCTGGTGAATAGCGCGGTGCGCCGTGTCCCCTGTCCGCACTTCTTGCGCGAAAGGGTACGACGTCGCAAACGGGCTATTCGATGTTCAGGAGGAAGATGTACTGACGAGGTCTTGCATTGTTTGATCAACAGGTATCGTGTCAGCTCCATTGTGGGACTCTAAAACCTCGACCTTCGCGGGTCTTCTTACCACCTCCGATTACATCAATGTCATTCAATACTATTTCCAGAACCCCGCAGCTCTGGGTGAGATCGATCAATTCCGACTGGACAGCCTCCGAGGTGCGTCCCTCGCCCCTTCCCGCAATGGAATATACTCTTAGGCCGGCACTGATAATAGGTCACAATCTAGAGGTAGAAAAGGCCTTAGGGGTTGCTCCGCCGGAGACCATTTCCATTGATCCGGAGAGGCCCCTCTATGAAGCCTGTCGGCGCATGCTTGATTCTCGGGCTCGAAGAATCCCGTTGGTTACTAACGATAGTCAAACGGACCGATCACATGTCCTGAGTGTCGTTACACAGTACCGTATCTTGAAGTTCGTCGCCGTCAATGTCAGTGACACACAGAAGCTGCGCAGACCCCTAGGAGAGATATTGCTAGGTAGCTATGACAATGTAGCAACAGCATCGATGGATACGCCTGTTATCGATGTAATCCATATTCTTGTGGAGAGGAGCATATCGAGTGTGCCCATTGTGAATTCGGAAGGTATGGGGTTTCCCAGTCTAACTTGTGTCCAATGGCTAAAAGTGCCACTTAATCCCAGGTGTTGTGTACAACGTCTTCGAATCAGTTGATGTTATAACATTGATCAAAGGTGGAGTGTACGATGACTTAAGTCTAACGGTTGGAGAGGCGTTGAAAAAGCGGTCCCCAGTATGTTCAGCTGTTGAAGCTTTCCTCCTATTTATGGGCTGACAGAGGATCTCTCCAGGATTTTCCTGGTATCTACACATGCTCGTTGAATGATGGTCTGGATACTATCTTTGACACAATTCGCAAGTCTCGTGTTCACCGCCTGGTCGTGGTGGACGAAAATTTCCGACTAAAAGGCGTTCTCACATTGAGTGATATTCTGCAATATATCCTTCTAGAAGGCGAAAACGATGAGTCGTCTTAATACAATCCAGACATCGCGCTCTCGGTGCCTGGTGCACAATTAAAACTTGCATGGGAATGGCGTTTGATTCTACTTTTTAAGGTTAGTGACATGGTCTACTGTTAAGGATTCGACGGAAACATGGTTACGTTCAAATCGCCCTTCTCGTGGGGCATGGATTCCTCTCGACTTGCAGTGCACGAGAAAACAAGGTATTGTATGATGGTTTAGATTTCTATTGGGTTGGCCCTCGCTTGTCGGGTTTACGTTCTGCCCACGAATTCAGCATTGGCGTTTGGATTGACCATAATAGATTTTTTCTTTCATGTATGGCTATTGTTGTGAAGATCCCTGTCTCTGTCCCTCAACCTATTCTCCATTGTCTTCGTGGGAGTGTGTATTGTATTTCTATAGTTCTGAGGACATTGTATGATGCAGCTGTAGCCGTATACTCTCGTACAGCAAGAGAGTTTAATTTTGGAATGGAGTGCCTTTCGCCGGCTGATATGTTGAACAGGGCCGTTGTGCGTATTCAGCATACTCAAGAGCAGAAAGAGCGACTCATACATTCGCCGGCGGAAGTTGCTGCTATAGCCTTTTTAACCATATTTCACGCTTCAGTGTCTTCGAACCTGACCTCGTGGTACATAGTCCTACTTTCATTTCACCAACGGGCGTAATCTACGATTTCACGTATTACACATTGCGTTTCGCTTCTGGTATTCTGGGGCAATAATGGGACTCTTCAGCCTCTTTTCCAGATCATCCGCAAGCGAAAGCAGTGCACGCACATGGACTCTTGCAGGCCATGCGAAATTAAGCGATGCTCGGCACCGTCTTTATACAGGGTTACCAAGTGATATGGGCCATGATGTGTCGGTTGGAACGGGATCATATTCCGCATGCGACGAGCAGTCCAGAGAAGGCCACCCTGATACACTCCGACATGACAGACCACAGGCGCAGCATGAGCAAACTCCTTTTCTGAAGGATATCTTACCCCACATAGGCACCAATGACACCAAAATAGCACCTTTGGACTCACCTGCCGATTCTCCACATTTAGTCAAAGGCTCTGGACGCTTCGTGACCCTCCTACGTTCCCGCAAGTCTCGACGCCAAAACTCTCGGCTTAGTGCTCCCAAACTGCACGACGATTGTGTTGCTGGGGGTTCGAATTGCTGCGATCATAAGTGTACCGTAAGTGATGACACCGCAGGCCATCGAAGCGCAGGTGGGCGGAGGCTATTCCAGGGCCAGAAGAACCTAATGGGGTCTTACGAGGCCAGAAATGCTAGCGACAGGACAACATACTCTCGCAAGTCTGACCTCACAAGCGTTACTGTGTCTCACCATCCATCAAAACACACCTTAGCGCCTATTGTTCTCTTCCACAGGGAAAGTGTGTGTCAGAACCCATTCGATGAGCTTGGAGAGCCTTGTCGTCGAGTATCAAGCTGTTACCCCTTCTTGGAGCCATCGGTGACCACTATCAGCTCCGCAACACAAGCTAGCTCGTATTGTGGTGACATGAATCCCGAGATCGCTCAGATGGCTGGAATGCTTGCAAAGAGTGGAAATCCCTTCGATCAAGAATCTTTTCGCGACCATGAAAACCTATCACTCGTCAGTTCGTCCCGAACCGCGTCGAGAGATAGTACTTGGTCGCTTCACATCGATCGACACACAGCCATTGTCGCCTTCAATAAGCTTGCCGCTCAATTACATCTAGATCCACTGGAGTTGGACGAATATTACCCTGATAAAGGACTTGACCCGGTTAGCCAAGGTAGATTTACCCTTGAAGTGCCCACTTGGTGTGATAAACCTCGTCTCATGAAGTAACAGTCAATAATCCCATAGCTAGAGACAGCAAGTGCCCACGACGCCGCGATAGGGTCCTTGGTCGGATTCGGGTAATGCGATCAACCCTTCATATGAAAGCTCAGCCCGTCGTGACCCATTCGCGAACGCTGCGTCGGATGAGAACATTTGCCAATTTCTCTTCTCGATCCTGCGATTTGTCTGCACTGAAAGGCAGGTCTTTGGAGAGTCTAGCTCGGCTAGGGGGACATAGCTTTCTAAGCCTTCCAGTGGAGTTTGCACCGGCTACCCTCAGGCTACCGACATGTTTCGTCGCAACTATTTCCTATCTAAAATGCTTCGGTAGGCATCTCCTATCCGTATACTACAGATCGTGATTTTGGGTTTACTTACCGAAGCAACGACCAGCATTGTCCACACCAGAAGTGTTCTGTACTGCGGGTGACTTGAAGATGGCCGCCCGGGTTTACGATTACTTTGCGAAACAGGTGCTGTCCGCTGAAAATGTGCGTGATAGGATTGAGGCAACGGTCCGGCGTGGCGAACTGCCCATCGATTTGATCGGAATTTTCGACCATAGTGCTTCCCGTGAATTCTCTTCGCAGGTTCTCAGTGTTGGCTGGGTGTTCAAGGCTCTACTCGCCGGACTGCCGGGCGGAATCCTGGGGTCGGCGCGCTTGTACCGTATACTCGTTAGCATTTGTTACGGGCGTATCGCGGAGAGCAATGAGCGCAATGGCGATTACGGCGGTGTTCTCTCTCCCCTAGGTCACACAAAGCTGCAAGCGATCGGTCTTGCTGTCCTGGCGCTCACCACGCCCATGCAGTTGAACCTCATCTGCGCCTTTTTCGGGCTCTGTGCGATGCTACGGTACGAGACGGAGCGCGCGGGTGAAGACTATGAATTCGGGGGCGACGCTGGCCGAAGTGGTCTCACCTTCGGGCTGTCGAGTGTGGAGCGTCTCGGTCATGTTCTTGGGCCACTCTTGACCCCAGACGGAGGAGACGGCGGGCAGAACACATTCCGGGCCATCGAGCGGGAGATTGAAAATCAGCGGGTGATGACGATGTTGATCAGCAGTTGGGGCAGCATCAATCAACAGTTGCGAGTCTGGCAGAATCAAGGATCGGTTGCGCGGCGGGGGTCGTTCTTCAGGTTATTCAGTTGGGAGCAGCCGTTGGCCGACGGTGAATGTCACGGCGGGTGACGAGTCCAGGCAAGAAAGAATCCTGCTTCAGTCACAAGCCTTCTGTTTTTTTTATTTCACTTTTTTTATTCTTTTCTTTTTTTCTTTTTCTTTTTCTTTTTCCTTTTTCCTTGTTTCCCCTCCTGTCTGTTATAGACTTTGGTGTAGTCCTACCTGTAGGCGAATCATAACCCCAAGCATGTATCTTTCTGGAAAGGACCTTGAGGGGGGCGTGTTAGTGATTGACGGTCATCGTCTGACGGTCGTCAAGGTTCGCCAATCGGATAATTATCAAATTGGGTTCTAGGCTCATGGGGGAAACGGCCGAGCATGGCCCATGCAGGATGCAGCATGGTTGGCATAATCTAGACCGTCCACACCAAACGACGATATCCGGTTTGTTTCCAATGTACGAGGCAAGCGGAAGGAGGGAACCGCACCGCCTGAAGCTTGTTATTGGTAGAAAACGTGGCTATAAGGCAAAGGTAGTTTATGACTGGTGGTGTGGCTGGCCGTTTCTTGGTCGGCAGATAACACAATCAATGAAATCTGAATAGAGCGGGGGTCCATTTCACGCGCAACCACAAGTAAGCTCTGTCGATCCGTCAACGTTGAATCGTCGGCTCTCTGGTCCGGCACAACGACGGGTTTCGTTTTTCCATCCTTCCTTCTGTATTTTCGTACTAAAGAGTACGAAGTACTTTCCCTCTGCATATCATCGCCATTCGATACAGAAGTACTGTCGAGGGTTTGCGATACGGAGAACCGAAAAATAAAGTTACAGATCCTACTTGCTTTTTTGAAACCTGTTTTCCTGGTTTTTCTTTTTCCTTTTCTTTTTCTTTTTTTTTTTTCTGTCTCTCTTTTCATTCCTATGTTTATTTTGGGTTCTTTTTTCTTCTCGATTCTTCTTAAATTTTCTCAACCCCAATTCAACTCGTCTTGGTCCTGGCAGACATGAGTCAGGTTATTGAATTACGGATCAATCGGATACGACGGTCTCTATGCCCCGTACCGTACATACATTCATACATACCACTAGTACATGCATCTCACTTGGCACCAAACCAACTCCACCTCCATCTGATCTACCCATCGACTGTACCCAGTACACAGAACAGTATCCTGTTTTTCTAACCGTCGAGCGGGTCCAAGAGAAGAGGATGGATTCTATAGCATGTATCAGCTATCAGCTATCTGCTATCTGCTATCTGCTATCGACCTGGTCTATCAGAGATGCATGCGGGAGACTCCACTCAGGGAAGAGGAGTCCACCAACCAGATGATGTGCCGGTCTCCTCTTTCCAAGACAAAGAAAAGAGCATCTGCGCTGTGGAACCCAGAGGTTTCACTCTTGGCGGGGAGGTGACGTTTGCACTGGGCTCCAGGGTACAAGATTATGTGATCGCGCTGATCGGACCCATGGTTTTCTGCCCACCTCATCGGGTTTTGGTAGGTGGACAGAGAGAGAAGGCAGGGAGCTCTGGCCACCGCTGACGGGCGGAGTTGACCTTGGTTGGTACCCTTTCTGGCCCGTGAATCGGCTGGGGAGTCCCGTCGAGGGTCTTTCCTCTCTCAGCGCATTGAGAAAGCCTCCATGATCTGAGTTCACTGTAAGGTACAGACTTTTTATCAGCGTATCCACATTTGTTATCATGCCGGGAGACATTGTCTCGCCGCATATGCGACCCCCATTCTCCTTGATCGGAAATGGTTGAAAAGGATAACAGTCCAGATTGCCGGTTCAGGCAGGTAGATAGACTGCAGATGGGATGAGAGAGCCTATTGAAGAATCCTCCCCGCTGTCGTTGAGAGTGGTTACCAGCTGTCCGACTCGAGTGGTCCTGTAAAGCTTTGGGGCTCGTATCCATCGTAGCTGACTCGCGCGCATGGGTTTTATTTACTATTTCTACTTAAAACGTAATCGATTAATTCGGATCGGTTTTATTATTATTATTATCATTATTATTATTTCTTTATTTCTACTTTTTTCTTCATGATGATTGGGGTTTCTGGTTTGGACTTGGAGATCCTGATACTAGTACACGATTACTGGCACCCAGTGGGCGGTCATCGCCGATGGTCCTCGATCACATTCTGAGGATATTCTTTTGACATTATTATTATTATTATTATTATTATTATTATCGTCGATCACAGTTGAAGTTCCAACCGTCCGTCGGGGTACCATGGTCTTCTTCCCTGTCCATTGGATTCAATGAACGCGTCGAACGGACACTCGATGATTTCATCCCACTCGAGATGGAGGGACGTACTTTTGGACTTTCGATTGTGTTCAGAGGATCTCCGATCTAGCAACGTCTCGTTCATTCACGAAGAAGCTCAATCCAATGCGACTTGGAAGTCCAATCTCCTCCCCCCGGCCATCCATGATGTCAACGACCTCCCCACTGGCAAGTCCTCATTGGCTCCTTGTTCTCCCCGTGGACTTGGTCCGGGATGAGAAGCCTAACCAATCAGAGGGCGTCGGGAGTGGTTTGACAGGTTGTTTTTAATCGCTGGGCGGTAGAGTTCGGGAGGAGCTGCAGGAAGAAGAGGACGAAGAAGGTTGAAGATGGAGAAGGGGTCGACCCCAACTCGTGATCCGCGGCCAATCATGGCGGCTTTTCTCCACCTGAAAAAAACAATATCACGTCAATCAATCAATTCAGCAAACAAACATGGTCGACCCGGTCAACTGAATTCAGTTCCTCAGTTCAGTCCAGTGCAGTTCAGTTCCTTTCTATCCAATCAATTAATCAATCAAATCGGTCCAGGAATTAATTCTTGTTCGTCTAGCATCATGTTCCGTCTGGGGGTTATCCCCCAGAGTTATAGGGAGCTCATGATCCACCTGGTTTTCTTCCTTCCATGATTCTTCATTGCCTTCTAAGCTTCTACTCCCCCTCCTGTATGGCCACCTCTCCCCATTGAACCATCCAACTGTTCGCCTGGGCCGGTGGTAGATACGAATTCGTTGATAGACGCCAGTTCGATGGAGTCCGCGACCAGGGTGAATCTTCTCGCAACGTCATCTGTTCCACAGGGTTGCGGTTGCACTTCCACCCAGGCTGGCCCACTTGGCTAGAAGCTTTTTGCGACTTCCTTAGGCTTCTTGTCCTTGGAAGGTCTGGACACATGGTCCAATTTCCAGAGAGAATCTTCTATTGCTCCGGTGGGTCCCCTTGCCTTGATACCCGGCCTTGGAAAGAGGGCGTCCCATCTACGGATTTATTTTCCTACCCTCCATTCTGGTTGAGCTTCTTCTTCTTCTTCTTCTTCTTCTTTTATTTCTTCGGATCCTTCGCTTTGTTGAGAGCAAGAACTACCTCTCGGCCTTTTGCCAATTCCCGTACGGTCAACCGTGGTAACACTGTCTGCCGCACTTGCCTGACTTAAAAACATACTCTTTTCCCCTCTCCGCTACCAAAGACCTTCAGCCACCAGAAACTCTTCCCACCTGCCATTCTCCTGAGCTACGATCATACGACTCCTCTACTCGTCTTTAATACTCTCGCTGGAACTTTTCATATCTAATCGACGTCGATCTCTCTCTCTCTCCGTGTCCCTTATCGGACTCTCCTCCTGTGTGCCTTTAGGCTCTCTCTTTCTCTCTCTGCCTCTGAAGCTTCTGACATATATTCCTCGTCATCTGGCCACTCTTGACTCTCGCTCCCCCACTTACCATCAACAACCACCCTTGGGAGTATTCTTCGTCACATCGTTCCGCCGCAGAATATTAGTATGTCAGTGGAACAAACCCTCTACTGCCGCGATCAAGAAGCGATGACAGATCCCACCGGGGCCGGCCCAGCTGGCTTCACCGCGGTGGCCGCTTTCCCACAGTCCGACTTGTTGGCTTTCTCGCTCCCGGAAGAAGAACCGATCTGGGGCTTCGACACCATCGCGCCGGCCATGGCCTCGTGGCAAGGCAAGATGGAGCAACAGACCTTTTGCAACCCCAGTATGGAGAGGGGCTTTAAGAACACTCACGTCCGCAACGGACAGCCAACGCCGCCTCCCTTCGATGACAAGAAACTGCAGCCCCCCATGGCAGAGACGTACCCTCTGGCACCATATGTCTTCACCGGCTCCCCGCCCGAATTTGCCCCCCCGAAACCCCGCAGCAGCCTCAGTGAACAGTCGCATACGGAAGGCTACAGGCCAATCCCCGACGTCGCAAGGCGTCGGAAGCCGACCTGGATGAGCCACTGCAGGACCGGGTGAAACGGGAAAAGTTCTTGGAACGGAATCGGTTGGCAGCCAGCAAGTGTCGACAGAAGAAAAAGGAACACACAAAGCTCCTGGAGACCCGGTACCGCGAGGTATCCAGCAGGAAAGGCGAGCTCGAGACTGAAATCGAACACCTGCGCAGCGAAGTGCTCAACCTCAAGAACGAGATGCTGCGGCATGCGCAATGTGGAGACGAGGCCATCAAGCTCCACCTCGCCCAGATGGTCCGGATGATCACCTCCAAGGACACCCCCAATCGCGATCTAGTTTCCCCCAGACAGTCCCCTGAACAGAACACTGCGGCCACTCCTCACGGGCTGTCATTCGGGTTCGACGGCCCCATGCAGCTGCCCTCCGAGATGGGGTCGCCGTTGGATCAGCGACGAGCGTCCGAGCAGTCCATTATGACTGAGTCGTCCTACGCATTCTCCACGGATGACAGTTTTGAAGAGCTAATTAATGTTTAAGCGGGTCAGGTCACTGGCCTTGGTGTCTCTCTTAGCGTCTCCTTTTTTCTATGTTCTTTTTCTTGTTTTTGTGTGGTCTCCCCTTGTTTACGATTTCTTCTTTTTTTTTTTTTCAAAAAAAGAAAAAAGAGAAAAAAAAAATTCTCTCTTTTCTCCCTGTATCTCGGTGATGGTGTCCGATAAAAGCGACTTGCATAATGCCCGGTTCTCGCACACGAAATGAGATGTCCGAAATGTTACGAATCTGGCCGAGTCGGCTGCTTTGCTTACGATGAGCTCTGGCGTTTGGAGTTGAATGGATACAGGCAATTGTTACTGTTCAGGGCCTGGGCGGATTTACTGTTGTGAAGTTGCGTTTTACTGGGCTGGCTGTATTAATAGATATTGGAGGTCGATGTACCGTCCTGTGTTTTCTCTGGGGCATCTGGTTGGTCACTCGTTGGGCTCGAGGGACATTGCTTTTACAATCAGATGTATAATACCTTCAGGTGTATCAGAAAATGGACAATGCCCATCAAATGGCATGAATCTCGTAGGCAGTGCCAGACCCCGGCGTATCGCCATCGCCATCGCCACCCAACATAAGCTCACAATCTGCATACTGCGGTAGACTTTTCCTAGGCGACAGTCGATCAGTCTATCGATCAGTTGCCTCCGCGATCGAACCATACCTCCAAACATGACATCAGGCTTTGCTCTCCATCCATGAGGCAAAACAGTGGCAAATAGGGCCAGGCACGGATTCTACCTCCAGTTGGCCGTCATTGGCAACCCATGAACCGCCGTTGACAATTGAATTCGATCCCTGAGCAGGCCCGGGCTCCACCATGACATCGGCCACCCTTTGGGCTCTGTTTATGGTTCCATTGGCGGATATCCTCCCTCCTATCAAGCGGACTTTATCCGCTCGTTTTCTTTTTACTTTCTCTGGCCGTTCCAGTCCCTGTTCTAGTCGCGGCATCACGTCAGTCGGTCACGTCAGTTTTCTTCCTGAAGGTAAGGTAGGTTTAAGGGGCGACGATTGTCTTTTGTCTTTTATTTCTTTGGGCTATTGTGTATTGTCATGGGGAATATCTGGAGTATATATTGTAGCGGAATGGTGAGTGGTTGTTTGTGTATATAGTATGGAGTATAGAGAACAGCGTTTAGAGTAGTAGGTAGGAGGTAGTATACTGTAAATGGCTATACATTGATTCGTATATGTAGATCTAGACCAATCTCTTCATTTCCATAACAGCATCCCTTCCGCTATCAATAAGACGATGGTATATCGGAGAGTATATGGATATGGAGTATATCCAGAATCAAAATCATCATTCTCAATTCTCACCAAATATATTATGGGATATATTCATTCTACCAGTCAGTCTACTGTTCGCACCCGATTATCCTCAACAGACACAATACCACTAATACACAATACTATTGCTATTATTACTGTTTAAATCAATAGATGAAATAAACCGCCATGAAAAGACCCAGAACGAGCCTTCCCTCGGCGGTACTGAATTGAACCTACAAATAGCAATCTTTTTAACTGTGAACAAAAAAAAGATATTTAATATAATTTTAGTTTTATTGTCTAAACAATTAAATAAAACATAACAAATAGCTAATCAACTGAATATTTTAATTCCAGTACGTACTGCAATAATTAAAGTAGCAGCTGGGATTTATTTGAGGAGGTTTCTCTGTAAATCATGCATACTACTACTCCGTAGATATAGATAGAGCAATAGATCAGATCAATAGAGAGGCTAATTCCACCGGAGAAGTAATCCAGCTGGCAATCCATTGGTCCGAGATGGATCCATTCATCTATCTATCTACTAGTTAATTTTAGTTAGTGTAACTAGTGTGTACATCCTTCGCACTTGTCTTACTTAGAAAAAGAAATATACAATATGCCCAGTAGATCATGATTTCCGTCATAGGCTCCACTATGGCACTATCAATGCATGTACTTCAGGGTATGGGTGGTACCTACGTCATATCATTTATCTACAGTACCCTAAGCTAATATCCACTTGTGGAGTGCTGTAAAAAATAAAGTAACTCGGCCAGATTACTATACAGTATAGTAGCTGTCTACTAAGCACTCTGGTACTTCTCCAAAACTCGATATGACTTCATAGCTTCTTCCAGCGGGATTTGGGCGGTGTTTGGGTGTGTGGGGCTCTTCCCCCTCTAGGCTCTTAGGGGTGGTGTGCTCACTTAGCTGGGGCTGGACTGTGTTCTGCTGCGATCGATCGATTGATTGTAGATCATGGATAGGCTAGCTGTGTTGATTTTTGGGGGGCTTTTTTGGGTCTGTACTTTTTTGGGTACGTACTTTGGGATTGTTCGGCTTTGTTTGATCTGGGTGGCGTTGGGGGGAGTTTCATTGGTCTTTGTGGTTTGGAGGGGTCTAGATTTTGCCCGGTGGATTTTGGGGGGGGGGGGGGGGGGGGACTAGTTTTGGGTCTTGGGAGATATTATTAGTACACAAGTATGCCTACTCGTACTGTTAGAGTATGGAGTACCTAGTAGTAGCGTGCTAATGCATGATGACGATGTGTGGATTTATATTATATAGTACTCTGTATCGGCGATCTATTGTCTATTCTACTAAATAGGATACTATAGGCGTTATTCCCCAATAGACCCGTATCTCTCGCCCTCTCTATCCCCATGTCTAGAAGAAGATCCATCATCACTCGCCTTCCCATCTGGCATGATGGTCTGCTCAAAAAGTGCCTCGATCTCCTCCAAGCTCCTGCCCCCCGTCTCAGGCAAACAGCCCCACACAAACCCTGCAATGGCCAAATCTAGCACCCCGAATAGCAAAAACGTAGCCCATCCCATGCCCGCCAGGATATACGGCGTGCTGGCCGACCAGACGAAATTACCGAGCCATTGGGCTGCGACGCCGGCCGCTACGCCCGGTTCGCGGATACGGGTGTTGAAGAGCTCTGCCGTGCAGGGCCACGGGAGGGGACCCCAGGAGAAATTGTAGGCGATTATGTCCAGGTAGATTAGGGAGATGGTTAATATTCCCGTGGACTTGATGCTAGTATTACTGGTGGTGTGGCCTGGGGGAGGGGACGGGTCAGATCTGACGACAAAGGCAGTGGAGACCATGCAGAGGGACATGGCCAGGGCGCCGAGGATGAGCAGGGGTCTTCGGCCGAAGCGTTCGGCGATCCAGATGATGAACGCGAGACAGCTGATTACTTTCAGGGCGCCAAAGATCCCCGTGAGGAGGAGTGTGAGGGACTGATTTGCACCGCTGTCTCCCACCAACAGCGAGAAGAACTGGGGTCCGAAGTAGGCCATTGCCGTGGCGCCGGTGGATTGCTGCGCGAGGAAGAGACTGATCCCTAACAGGAATCGACGGCCATTGGGTCTTTCGAGTAGTTCGCGGACGTGGAAGTCTGCGGTGGCGTGGCGATCGGCTTCGATGCCCCCTTTGATTTGGGCGAATTCGGCCGCGACGGAGGGCCCGGACGATGCCCGGATCCAGGTCAGACTGGCCCAGGCGCGATGGGAGTCTCCTTGGCTGAGGAGCCAGCGGACACTTTCGTCGAGACTCAGCATGCCCAGACCCATGAGGGCGCCGGGGACGAGCTGTAGGGCTAGTGGGATTTGCCACTGGGCGGCGGTGGGGGCACGGAATTGGATTCCGTAATCGACCCAGTAGGAGACGAGGATGCCTACGGTGAACGTGAACTGGTAGCAACTACCCAGGCGGGCGCGCATGTCCGTAGGGCTCATTTCAGAGAGGTAGATGGGGATCACCGTGGCGGATCCCCCGACCCCGAGGCCGCAGATGACGCGGCCCAGGTAGAAGACTGGCAGGGAGTGCGAGTTGATGACCTCGAAGATGACCCCCAGACAGAAGATGGCGGAACAGTACATCATGGCTCGTCGACGACCGTGGCGGTTAGTTACAGGCCATATCGCCAGGCAGCCAACCAGGGCGCCGGCTTGTTGGATCCCTACCGCCAGAGCACTCACGCGGGTTTGGATAGCCGGGGTGCAATGGAAGTCGCGGAGAAATGAGTCGAAGGTGAGGACCCCCCCTGCGGAGTATTAGATAGAGCTGGAAGGCGCGCCACCAAGATTAAACCAACCGATGACGCCCGAGTCATATCCGAAAAGGATGCCACCGCAACAGACAATGGCCGTGAGCCAGTATATGCGGAATACTGCTTGTCGCGACAGGAGCGGCTCCGGTTGCACGGTGGTGGGATCGGTATGGTCCCATTGCGGGATCTGCGTGTAGGACCTCATATTCTTCCATTTCGCATTCGGGATCTCTCTGGAAAGACGAGAGGCATCGCCTTGTATAGGAGTGGAGGAACAGCGAAGTACGTACACGGACTACCCAAAAGGGATGCAGCTGACGTCAGCTGATGACGCCCAAAAGCGAGAAACAGCCGACAGCCGAGTGACTGGAGACGCAAACCGCAGCCCTAATGGCGCCATATCCACCAGGAAATGATATTCTTCCATTGAAGATCCTCACTGGAGCGGCTACCCCAGGTACTTCCAGACCAACCCCTGGGGATCAGGCGTTTCGCAAAGCCGACAGCCGACAGACGATCGGATCCTGTCAAGATATGTAGTTCTCGATCATGTTCATCGTGATAAATAGAGCGCATTCTGCGCTTCTCTGACCGAGAATGAGGTCTCTTGACTCGCTAGACAATAGTTATTCTATGGACGATTACCAACAGACATCATGGCTCCCAAGCGCCCTAACTTCCTCGTCGTCGTCGCCGATGACCTGGGCTTCTCGGATATCGGCTGCTTTGGCGGCGAGATCCGCACGCCGAATCTCGATCGCATTGCCAAACAGGGGGTGCGGTTTACTGACTTCCACGCTGCGGCTGCGTGCTCGTGCGTTCCTCTCATGACACCCAATACTACCTCCAGCAGAATAGGACTGACCAAGAAATAGTCCCACCCGCGCCATGATCATGACCGGCACGGACCACCACATCGCTGGCCTGGGCAACCTCATCGAATGGACCAACATCTCAGGTCAGAACGGCCCCAAAGGCTCCGCGATGAGCACCGCGCCCCAGCGCGGCATGCCAGGTTACGAGGGCTATCTCAACGAGCGCGTTGTGGCCCTCCCCGAGGTCCTCCGCGACGCAGGCTACCACACCCTCATGTCAGGAAAATGGCATCTGGGCCTGACACCTGAGCGTTCGCCATTTCATCGCGGCTTCGATCGCTCTCTAGCCCATCTCCCCGCTTGCTCAAACCACTACGCCTATGAGCCCCAGCTACAGGACACGGACGAGACACCTACTTTCCTGGAAGCTAGCTATATCGCCCTGCACATGGAAGACGACAAGTATGTCAAAAAGCTGCCCGAGGGCTGGTACTCAACCGATGGTTACGGCGACAAGATGCTCCAGTACCTCCATGAATGGCACGACCGCTCCGATGAGCGTCCCTTCTTCGCCTATCTCCCCTTCACAGCTCCACACTGGCCCCTGCAAGCCCCTCGCGAGTATATCGACCACTACCGCGGTGTCTACGACGACGGTCCAGAAGCACTTCGTCAGAAACGTCTCCAGCGCCTCAAAGAACTAGGCATGATCCGCTCAGACGTCGAAGCCCACCCCGTCGTGGCAGACGAAGTCAAACCCTGGTCCGAATTCACGCCAGAGGAACAAAAGCTCTCCTGCACCGCCATGGAAGTCTTCGCCGGGATGGTGGAATGCATCGATGCTAACGTGGGCAAGGTAGTCGACTACCTCTCTTCCATCGACGAGCTGGAGAACACCTTTGTCTGCTTCATGTCCGACAACGGCGCCGAGGGCGCTGCCTACGAAGCCTACCCCATGGTCCAGAGCGGCGTCATGCCCCATCTCCAGAAATACTATGATAACTCACTTGAGAATCTTGGCAACGGCAACTCCTTCATCTGGTATGGCCCCCGCTGGGCCCAGGCCGCTACTGCGCCGAGTCGACTGTACAAGGCGTTTACCACGGAGGGGGGTGTGCGAGTGCCATTCTTAGCTCGGTTCCCGTCGTCTGTTTCCGTGGGGGATCATGTGCGTAACGGAAGTGTCACGGATCAGTTCGCAACGGTTATGGATCTGGCTCCGTCTATCTTGCAGATGGCGGGCGCGACGCACCCCGCGCCGTCGTATAAGGGTCGTGAGGTTGTCTCCATGCGTGGTCGCAGCTTTTACCCCTGGGCGAGTGGTGATGCGCCCCGAATTCATGAGCAGGAGTTTATCCAGGGTTGGGAGACCTGTGGGAGAGCGGCACTGCGCTTCGGGGACTGGAAGATTGTCTACATTCCCAAGCCGAAGGGCCCCGAACGGTGGCAGCTGTACAATCTCGCCGACGATCCTGGGGAGATTCATGATCTGGCGGACCAATATCCCGATCGGTTGAAGCAGTTGCTAAAGTTGTGGGATCAGTATGTTATTGAGACGGGAGTGATTCCGTTGAATCCAGACCTGGGAGATTTTCTGGAGGCAACGGAGGCACAGATGCCAGAGAATGCGTGGATGGAGTATGATTATTGGAAGAAAGGGGCGAGGGATGAGCCTGAAAAGTTCATGAGAAGCCCGCCTAGGTTCCAGAGAGTGGTTAAGCAGTTTTAGCTGTAGAATTGTTGATATATATCTCCGTACGAATGTCATGACTGATGGATATTGTATATGATTCGCGTTGCAGAGCTTAACATCACGATGTCGGTTATATTAGTACGAAGGGGTCTACGAAGAGTTCTCGCCGTACAAGGCGTGAGTCCGCCCACGTTCGAGACGCATCCTGGCGCTTTGTCATCTCCTCAAGTAGCAACAGTATCTTTTTCGCGTTGGGATGTCGCTGTGCCACGGGCCTGTGGTCACTAGGCAAGTCGGCCATGCGCTGCATTTCCTGTATAATCCATCCTCGCTGCTCCAATGAGCCTTCCAAACCGGCCACGAATAGCGGCCAGATAAAGCTGATCGGCAGGCGATGGTTCACACTGCCGGACTCCACCGTGGCCAGCTGAATGATCTGGTCCACCGCGCGATGCACCCGGTCTGTCCGCGGGTAGATCACAAAAGCCACTCGGTGGAGATATATGAATATGGCCAAGAAATTGGCCATATACTGCCGAAACGTGCGGCAGACTTCGTCTGCCACGGCTGGTTGAAGGGTGTCATGTAGTTCTTCTGGCTTGTCATAAACATCTAACACCCGTGGTCGTTTGTTCCAGAGGGCTTCTAGGTCCGCACCGATCTGGTGCGCAACCTGGAGGACTTCGAACTCATCGCTGACTGTCCCGCGCCTGCGGTGGTGCATGTCGAGGCAGACAATACGGCGGATTACTTGTTGAGCCTTGAATAGGAAGGAATATGCGGGGCCAACAATGGCATTGTGTATGAGATAGCCCGGTTTCGAGAGGAGCTCGTCGTCCAGTCTTTGATCTGTCTCAGCCGTGTCAACTTGATCTAGCATCCCTAGCTCAACAAGAGGATCCCCATCACGGCCAGCAATTAGCGCTCTGACGTCCAACAAAGAGATCCATGAGACTATCAAGTGGCCAAACCCGGTCCATGACTTGGTTCGGTGGTGAAAACGCTGTAGCAACAAATACGCCGAATGGAGAAAAGACGTACTAGAGTCCCCTAGTTCTGGCAATGACACTACCTATACATGTTTAGCTCGATACGCATGCTAGAAAACACCTACATACCTCCGACAACATAAGCAGGAAAACCGCCGTCAATGCCCTCTTCAGTAGTGAATCATCCATACTCTCGGTGATACAAGACTGGATCTCCGAGCTCGCCTGTTGATGATACACCGGGGCCGCTCTCCACCGTTTGCCTTCTTCCATCGACTTACGTATATCAGAGTAACAATATACCGCATTTAACAAGCAATTAGCATCTCCTGAAAGAGAGACAATAACGCTGCGTACATAATTCCATTCTAGCGAAATAGACCCAAATGTCGTAGGCGGCGGATCTATCTCCGCAAAATGAGACAGCAGCTGTTCTTCGTAAGTTTCCCTCGGCTGGGGCCATATAGTCCTATCACCTGAGGGTACATTTTGTACCACATCTGATTGGCTGTCACTCGGACTTGGGAGTGTCCCGACGGATGTATCAACAGTCCAAGTCGGCTGTTGCACTATATAGTTGCTACCTCCAACAGTCCCCAATGTCGTTGGAGATAGTGCTTCACTGGTAAGAGTAAATGCCGACACTCCGTTCGTCAGGTCGAGATGTTTCTGTTCGAAGTCTGACGTAATTTCGCCAATAAAGCTGAGCATGTCAAAATTCGGAAAATCGGGAACCGCAACTGACGTTGATGGCAGCGTGTGGTCTGTCATCTGGTGAGGTAACATATGCGATGCCCGGCGAGGACGCAGCGCACGAGGTTGCAGAACTGTATCGAAGTAGTTTACATCCAGACGATCTGGAACATGAGTGGGGGTCGGGTCGATAGTGAAAGCCTGTTGAGGAACTTGAGGTATCCTCTGGGTGCTCCGTCGGGATGCAATCCCTGGAACAATAGTTTTGTAAATGCATTGCAGTCGTAGCCGAGTACAATTGGCACAGGTTGGTTTGGCCTCGTCGCAGCGGACTTTACGTGCACGGCATGTCAAGCAGCCGGTGCGGCGGCGGGGACCTGATCGGCCTGTTCCCCGTGCTCTCGGAACCTGATCTTCCTTAGCTATAGGCTCGTGAGACATCTCCCAGGGGATTTACCTCCATAGTTGGCTGTAGTGCGCTGTAGTCATGATGTAGTAGTGGTTGCAGTGCAGGAGTTGAAGTTGAATTAATTCAAGAAACTAAAGATGGACGGCGTTTCCCCGCAATTCGGCAAGGGGCGTGATTGGCAGGTCATATAATTATTTATCCCAAGTACTAGTAAATATGAATGAAACAAAAAATTATAGAGAAATAAAACAGGATTGCTAAACTTTCTCGTGTATTGAATCTTCCATGCCTTGGTACTGTGTTTATCCTACGGGTGATACAAGCAACCCGACTACACATACAAATATTAATCATCACATCGTATGTCCCTGGAGGGCATCTCCCCACCAAACAATCGCAATTTCTCACCTCCAAAGCACTTGGATGTATGCAGCAAATGCCCTCGTTCCTTCCGGACGTACGCTGCGAAGCATATTGCCGCCATTGCAATGGCCCCGTAGCTGATATATACTGGATACTTGAACTGCTCCGGAAGAGGGAAGACGATGGTCGTTGCAAACGAGAACAGTTCGAAGATACTTTGCAGTGCCATTTCTGTGGACGAGAAGCGGGCTCGCGCATGTTCATCGACACCCTGTACCTGTCAGCAGAGAAGCTAGGATTCTCTTGGGGACATTGCTTACCTCCTGCACGAGAAACTGTACCGACAAGTCGAACCCCCATAGTCCAATGCGACTTAGGGCAACGCCCACAATGAGACTCACCGCAACAAGCTGAGAGCTGTTGTTGAGGAATGCAAAAGCAGCAACCGCAGCGGCTAAGCAGCCAAACTGCCAGTTCAGGAACCACAGCCCGGACCTAATGGGCCCGATTTTATTCATGATGAACGGGGCTGCCCATGTCCCCGATAGTTCTGCAATCACAGCACCAATCCTCATTCCACTGACTTGCAGAGAAGTGAAGCCAGTGTGAAGCAAATAGGTGACCATTGTCGTTCCAAACGAAAGAACAGTGAGATAAAGTAAGCTCAGGGCGAATGACGCCAGAAAGAGAGGACTCGAGACATATTCCCGCCATGGAGCAACGACACCTCTAGCGTGCTGCACCATGCTGAAAGCTATGCTGCGTTGAGGAATCTGATCGTCGGAAGCCGCTTCTTCTCCTTCATTTTGATTCACATCAATTTCTTGAGGTCGCTCCAGTTCTGGCACTGATTTATATACCTATTGTTTCCGTTAGTGGTTGCGACCGAGTTAGAATCAGTATAGTGATGGTACCTGCGCTATTGCAAAATATTCTAACAAGACGCATGAAGCATTCACGCCCAAGGTCGTCCATATCGCAACCCGGGTAGAAAAGCTATCTATTAAGGAGATTACCACAGGAGCGAGAAGCTTGCAGAAGAGATCTATCCGTCTCATGGAAGCATTTAAGTCTGACTATATGTCAGTCCACTTCCTGAGTGCTACCGCAGAAGAGAATCAAACCTTGTCTTGGGATTTGTAAAGCATCTGATACAACGATTGCCTTTTCAAAGTTAGAGTGTTTAACTTCACCCAAATAAATAGAAATTTCTCACCCAGTCTCTTTCGACCGCCACGGTGTTGGCTGTATAAGCCAGTTTTTCGAAGCACGCAAGCAGAGTGACCACGGCGAACAAGAGCGGAGAGATATAGGGCGGCCCTAATGGGGTCAGGAGTGCAACAAAGCATGCACAGGATAATGCCACGGGAAGTCGTTGCCATACTAGACTCTGGTTAACTATGCGATCTCATAGCTCCAGCGGAATGGAGGACAGATAGAGCATACTAATAGACTGCCGGATCACCTTCAATCGGTTCGACCGATCTACTACCGAACCCAGCCAGGACGATAATAGTACTGCCGACAAAGAGCGCACCAGTGCATAGATGGAAGCGTACAACAAAGTGCCTGGGAAGATCGAGGCCAGGAACAGGACCGCTCCGAACTCAAACATGCGCGAATTCCATGTCGACAGGCTGTGTGAGATGTATAGTCTGATCAGCACTGGCTTCGAAGCACGTATTGGCGTCTCGATAGACTCTGATGAAGATGATGGTGGCAGGAATGGCTCCGCCTCATCCGTTGAGTCCCCGCGAGACATCGTCGGGGATAACGAATCTATTGATGATATGTCCTTCCTTTCTTTTCTCTACCTCCTTTTTTTGTTCCCTTACTTCATTCTTGACTCGCTACATTTGAAGTCTGACTCAGAGTCTATGACGATGATTGTTGGGAGATGAAATACACCGGAGTAGCGGTGGACTGACGATGTGAAGGTCTCGGACCGAAGTGCATTTAATTTACCGATAAAGCAAATAAATCTAATTTGTTATCTGATTAGATTATGGATCCCATCCCCCAACAATCGATTGCACTTCAAGGTCCTTCCTTAGTAGATACAGAACAAGAGGCTAGGATCCACAAAATGCTTGCTTTAATACCATGAGATACTCGTAGTAGTCATTCATACCTATGGAGTACACCAGTCCCTTATTAACAGTACCGAGACCTCCACCTCTTCCGCACACTATCTACTATGAGTGGGTTCAAGGTCAATGAATGGACGCTCCAAGACAGATCTGATTTCGTACCGTCTAGCTCCTGTTAATTTGATGAAATACATGTCAATAAAATTATACCCATTGTAAAAACCTGACAATCAAAAGTACAGAGGAATTGAAAAATCGCCGTTTATTTCTGTTCTTCGCATATCTATTCCCAACGCAGGCCCTCGGGAGTCTGAACAGTCCGTCTGGCCAACACTTCCGCAACCTTCTCCCGGACACCCTCCTTGTTGCCCCATTTCTGAACGAAGTCGTTAACCGTCTGTTGCTGGGTCTCCGTGCTGTCGCGCACAAACTTCGCAATGTCTTTCTCTGTGGGAAGGCCGTAGTGGGCATGAGGATATTCACCGTAAGTGGTCTCACTCAGGAGCGGCAGGCGAGACTCCTCCTCGGGGATCTCAAAGAAAGCATCAACATCCGCCTGAGAGACTTCCTGGAGGGTAGCAGGCTGCCAGGAGGCCTGGCGGGGAGGCTTCGACATGAGACGGGCCTTGACACCCTCGACGAAATCCGGGTGCTTCATGAACTTGCCAGCAATGTGATGCTCGCGCTGGAAGGTCTCGGAGATGGACCACTTCTTACCCAGACGCATCTGGCGCAGGGTGACCCTGAGCGAGGTAGGGGAGCGAACGGATAGCGTCTCCAAGGTCTTCTGGGCCCATTCCTTCTGCTCTGTCTCCTTCTCCAGCGCCTGGAAGATTTCTTCCACGGTGTTGTACTTGAAGCATCGGTCAATGGCGCTGCGCAGGCCGCCAGCAAGAAGCATTGGCTCCTCCGTGAGCGATGGCAGACCGGTGGAGAATTCAGCCATGGTGTTGTTGACCAAGTCCATACGCTCTTTGGGGGTAGCCTGATCCTGGAAGACCAGCTCAGCCAGACGGTTGGTGAGGTTGCTCAGCACGCTGGAGTGGAAGTAGTGTGTGGCAATACCGGCATAGAGAGCCTGGACGCCGGTCAGACGCTCCGAGGTGAGGGCGAGGTAGGTTCCGATTTGGCCGTCAAGACGGGGCAGGAAGAAAGAGCCGCCAACATCCGGGAAGAATCCGATGGTGGTCTCAGGCATGGCGAAGACAGTACGTTCGGTTGCGATACGGAAGGGGGCATGAACACTGAGGCCGACACCACCTCCCATGGTGATGCCGTCCATGACGGAGATGAAGGGCTTGGAGTAGGTTGCGATGGTGTGGTCGAGCTGGTATTCCAGACCGAAGAAGTCGGTCGATTTCTGCTGTCCCTCGGGGCCCTGTTCGTTCTGCAGAGCGAGGGCTGCAACGTCTCCGCCAGCGCAGAGTGCCTTTGAGCCTGCGCCGGCAACCATGACAACATTTGCCAGCTGGGATTTTTCCCACTCCTATTCGACGCTTAGCAACCATAACCATTGTACAACCTTTCGCCAATGCAGCTCACCTTCAGCCGAGGGAGGATCTTCCGAGCCATCGAACCGTTCAGGGAATTGAGCTTCTTAGGGCGATTAAGCTCGACCAAGCGCACGCCGTACAAAGAATTGAACAAAACATCGTCGGGCTCATCGCCGGGCAGCTCTTTGGGAAGGTTCGTGGAAGTTGACATCTAGGATGACAATCGTTAGTAACCGAGGCATTCAGCACTAAAAGAAGGCTCAAGCCCATACTGTGGCAGCTTTGAAAGCTGGGTTTGTCACTTTGGCGCGGAGAGGCATGGTTGCTGGTGAAACCCGCGAGATCCAGCTCGACGGTGTTGATAACCGGGGGATATTGTGTCGGAGCAACATTAGGCAGACCTTAGCCTGTCGGACGGGAAGGAGAAACAGGTAGAGGGCGAAGAGAGGGGGTGTATTAGTAGTATCAGAGAAGCTCACGGTTAAAGACGATCTCCGCTTCGCTTGACCTCGGAGTTTTTCGCGGCGGACGATTTTCCTCGCCGACTGGAGCAGCCGAGCGTCCTGTAAACAGCTGATAGCCGGCCCATTACCTACACAGGCCCATCTTTGACTGCTTCTCTTGGTCTGAATCTATTTTAGAAATTATTAATTCCCTCAAGTTGTACTTAATCATGAGCGGACTGGATCTTTTTTTTTTTTTTAGCTATAGGTAGTAGGAGTAATTCATTCCCTATGCATATCCATGAATCACAACGATCAAACCGAGGGAAATATAGCTTGTCTGCTTCTTCAGGTCAAATTACAAGTGACAATCATACATTGCTAGATTCTATTTGTACAGATAACAGTTCCTCAGTGCCCAAAAAGTAACATCCATTCGCCCGTCGACAAATCAATACAGAGCCTTCGCAGGCTTAACAGCCAAATCCCTCGAGTGATTAGCCAGGATACGGTCCAGCGCCTGCTTCTCAATAATCAAACGTCCCGTCTCCAAAAGGTCCTTGACATCCACATCCTTGCGGTCCAGAATCTTCGCATGTTCGCCCACCTCACGCACCGTAGCAAACAGGCCCTCATCTAGCTGATCCGTGATCAGGGTCGACCGTCCAAACTCGCGGCCCCAGTTGTTAACCTTGAAAATTTCTTTGATCAAGTACGGAGTAGCATCTTCCGGGACCGAGATGTCGTTGTCGATAATGATCAACTGGCCGCGTCGGTACCGATAGCTGAGAGCTATCCGCCATGCCTGGTCGTAGATCTTCTGAGGAAGGCTCGTGGAGAAGTCTCGAGGGTGAGGACCGTGGGCAACACCTCCTCCTTTACGGATGGGAGATTTCTTGTCGCCAGCACGTGCTTTGCCGGTACCTTTCTGCGCATGCAATTTCCTGCCACTTCCGTGCACATCGTCTCTCCACTTGGTGCTCGCCGAACCTTGTCTGGTCATGTCACCTTCGTAGATGACGGCCCGATGTAAGATATCCTTCCGCAGGGGCATCAGGAGATGGTTCCGAGGGTATTCAACAAAGCGCAATGGTTCCATCGAAGGGAAGGAGTAGGTAGTTGCCCGCGCGGGTTCCGTAGTCCACACGGCTTTGGGGGCTTCACGAGTAAGGTGTTCGGTTGTTGCTTGGGACTCCGTAGCCATTGACCGTGAAAAGGACTTCGTAAGGCATCGTTGCTGTAGAAGGTGACCATAATTGTTAGAGTTGACGGTATGATTCGAATGCAACCGGGAACGTAAAGAGAACAATAGCACATACTGTAGTGGTCTCAGACCCCGAGAGCAACCCACCAGTGCTCCGGGAGAGCCATCTTAAGGCACGAAGGGCGTCACCTCCAGGCATTGTGCTGTCGGTAAAGCTCTAAGGGATGTCGTGATATGGGGGGGAACTGGGGTTGCCAACTGGGCGCTGGATTTGCCAAATGGGCGCTGCGGTTGCCAAATGGGCGATGAAGCAAAAGTTCAGACGGGAGGCGCTAACCCGCTGAGGCTTGGCTCCGACAACGAAAAAAGTTCCGTCCGGCAAGGAACACCTCTCTCCCCGACGACTGGAACGAGAACCACCTCGCCTTCTTTCTTTACACCCTTTACCCAACCCAATCGTCCGTCAAAATGGCCCATTGTGAGCGGGCAGCAAAGCCTTTGCTCCAATGCCTTCAAAAATCCTACCCTAGAGCCCTTCCGACCCTTCAGGTGCAGTCAGCCCGGGCCTTCCAAACTACCGCTCTCGCTCGCGAGGAAGCCCAGGCTGAACCTAAGAGTCAACCCTTCCACAAAGCACCCGACCCAGCGCTTGTATCGAGTCCTCGATTGGAACGAAGATTACTACGACAGGGTGTTTCGCCCATTGGATCTCGCAGACGTCGCGCGGCTTTGCAAAGCTCACCAAATGTTCCCTTCGACCAACTGCCCTACCAATGTTTCCAAGAGGCACGGCAGGTCCTCCTTGCGGATCGGGAGGAGAAGCTGAAGGATATCGTGTCCATGAGGGAAAAGATCGCCAGGCTTCAGGCTGTTCCTACAGAAGAAGCCGGAGGCGAGCAAGTGAAGAAGTCGCGCCTGGTAGCCATGGAGCTTCACCTTGAACGCCTGAAGATTCATGCAGATATTAACGACCCATTGGTGAAGAAGAAGTTTGAAGACGGACAGGGTGAGGATTTCCTTGTTGAGATCAATCCTTATCTCACATCTACGTCTGATCCTAACAATAGTTGATTACAGGCGATATGAGCAAGCCCATCTACCGTTATCTGGCCGACAAGAAATGGAGGGAGTACCGCCGGAAGATCCTGGTCCAGAGAATCACACAGATGAATGTTATCCCTGATGTCCTTCCTCACTGCGATCCCATCGTCGACACTAAGCTCTATTTCGGCCGGTCGCCCGTTCAGCCCGGAGAATTCGTCAACTCCCGTGTCAGCACATCTGCACCAAAGCTTGACGTGCAGCTCTTCGAGCGGGGTGAGAAACTCGTGACGATCGCCGTGGTCGATTCCGATGTTCCCAATGTCGAGAAGGACGGGTTCGACTACAGAATGCATTATCTGGCGGTCAATGTACCCATTTCGGCCGTCTCCACCAAGGTCGATCTGTCCAAGCTCTCGTCGGAGTCGCAGGTCGTCCTGCCATGGCTGCCTCCGGTTGCCCAGAAGGGTAGCCCCTACCACCGTCTGTCGGTTTTCATTATGGAGCAGAAGGATTCGCAGCCGCTCGATTTCGCCGCCGTCAAGGCCAAGGAGACGACCCGCGATAACAAGCTCCTCCGCACCCTGCAAGCCAGGTACCACCTGAAGGCCATTGGAGCGCACCTGTTCCGTACCGAATGGGATTCGACGATGGCGGAGGTCATGAAGGAGAATGGATACGCCGAGGTGGACATGGAGCTCCGCCGCAAGAGGGTCGAGCCTCTGCCTTACAAAAGGAGAAACCCATCTACCTTCCGGTAAATGGACTCCCGCTATACTTTTCCTTTCCGGTTATTCTATCATTGGCCTTATATCTGTACTGTACAATCGAACTGTATGAATATGCACAAATATCCCACAACTCCAGACTCCGCCCTAAATCATGCTTGTAGAGGATCCACTTAGTCGTCAAGCTGAGCCGGCTGCATCGTATTCTGCACCCATTGGGCTTTCGAAAGCGGCCAAACACGGGCAATAATCTTCCCATTGATCAAACCCATAGGTATGGGTCCATAGTTTCTCGAGTCCCTCGACCAGGGCAGGTTATCACCTCCGACGTAGACATGACCCTCAGGCACCTAGCATCAAAAAAAAAAAAGCCTGTCAGCCACGCACCATACCCAAGACATCCGAAGCACAAACCTGAATCATCTCCTGGCTCTTCCCAACCTCCGTACTAAACGGTAAATCCCGACAGACAAAATCCCCGGGCATGCCAATGACCCTCTTGGCCCCATTCACGCCCAAAAACGTCGGATGATAGAACCGCACCACATCGCCCACCTCAATCCCCTTGCCATGTTTATGCACCCTCGATATCAACAGGTAATCGCCGCGTGGATTGAACGTCGGATACATCGACGGCCCTTCACTGAGCTGCACCGTGATCAGATGCTCCCAGATAAGCGTACACGCGCAGAACAGTCCCACGCCATCCAGCGTAAGCCGGAAGACCCCGCCGGGCGTGGCCCTTCTCAATGTTTCTCGGAGTAGGCGCGACATGGGACCTAGCTGGACATTTTCTGGTTGAAGTCTGGTTTATCCTCCCCCCAATTCAATTACCAATTTCACTCCTACTAAATGGGCGTTGGCTCCATCTCAATCCCCGGGGCGGAGCTTCGGGATGGTCACGTGTGGCATAGGTATAAAAAGGCGGGAACCTTTTTTTTTTTTCCTCTTCTTCTCTTCCTCTGTTCATGCAAGAACTTTTTCGCACAACAATGCCTGGTTTTTGGGGGTTTGGACCCTCGTTTGGGTTTGGATAGACCGTCGGGGTTATATAAGTGTTTTATGTTTGCATTTATTCTCTCCCTGGACGGTTCGATTCGAACTCTACGGTTGTCGGTCCATGTGCCAATTGCCAGGTGTCTACAATGTTATTCTATTGTTCTTCTTGCGTGATAGTACATATCATATCTACATCGCTTCTAAAATTGCTAGAGCTCACCGTTGCCGAAATTAAACACCAGAACGCGTGAGTGTGGACAGTGAAGCAAGATGAACATATTTCGGCCGCTTCGGTGGTCGATTCCCTAAACGATAGCCCGGCTTGGACCCCATTTAACTATGGGAATGGGAAGCTGGGTGGTAATGCCGGGAGACAACCATTTCCATAGAATCAATACATTTTTTTTTATTACTTCAAGACTGTTCATTTTCACTTTTCAGATAGAAGAAACACAAGTAGGCCTACTTCTTCCACGCAACATCCACGTCTAGAATGCAAGTCAGCCCGGCCATACAACAAACAGACGAAAAGAAGAAAAGAAGAAGAAAAAAAAACTCACCAGAATCCACCTCCCACCTCTCCGGCCTCTCCACCCCCTTCCTCACATCCCTCTTATGTTTAACATCAACCCCAAACCTCTCATCCCTCCCTTTACACAACCCCTCCAACCCGCTCTCATGCACCCTGTTCACATCCTCCTCACTAGTAAAACTCCCCATAAGCACCGGCGCCCCCAACGGCACCGGGTCCCCGCGATCCACCTGCCAGAAATGATACGTCTTGCCATACAACGGCAATATATCCCTCATCTCGGCCGTCTCGGCCGTCTCCCAGACCGTGGCGGGAACGCCAGACGGCGCGGGCATGACCAGCATCCCGCTCTTGACTTCGTATTCGTGGCTATGCCAGAGTTGCTTTTCCTCGGGGGGCAGGGTCGAGAAGAGATGCGGCGTGATCATGTACTCGACACCGAGGAGTTTGGCGTTGCGGTCCGGCGACGAGTAGAGGAGGCATTGTCGTAGGTCTGTCACAAGGTTTGCCATGGGGTTGGGATTGTCAGTGTGGGTGTGTTGTGTCGTGTAGATTACAGTGGGATTGGTTATATCATTACTTCGGTGTGTGCGTGTATGCCATGGTAGAGGAAGTGAATGGGGGTGAGTATATATGTATGCATGGCTGGATGTACGGTACCTTCTGTGATATGGGAACAGTAGTGGTTTGCCTCGACGCAGCGGGTCGGGTCGTCGACGTAGACGTGGAAGGCGTTTAGATGGGCGCAGATTTGTTTCACGGGCGTGAAGTCTTGGACAACTGCGGCGCCGGTTTCGAGGATTTGGGATTTGGTGGTCTTGGGGTCTCCTGGGGGGTCGTTTTGGGTGGACATCCTTGTTGTATATGCGTTGGGTTGGTGTGTGGTTGGTGGTGTATACCCTGCAGGCTGGATTATGGTGATTTACAGTGTGAGCATGAATGGTTTGGATGTGGATGGCTTTGCTTGGATGTTACTTATAGTATATAGATTCATGCCTGACGTCACGATGATTGAGGTGCTGCTGCATCATGGAGACCTGGTTGTGCAGGTTTGTATTCAGGCTATTGGCGGATGTTGGGCCGGTCTAGGTATTACTAGTAGTAACTTGCTATTGATTCATGGTAAATGTCGAATGTGCTGCTCGGATATTGTTCAAATTCATCACCCCCAACGCTCACCCATGCTACTATTGGTACATACACTACAATATCACATTCACATCGCATTCTTCATCTCCCGTAGGGCTGCCATCACTTCAACGGGGTCTGTCTTTCCGGTCTTCTTCTGGATCTCGGGGTCCTAGATGTACCATTAGCCTTTGATCCAAGATGACATAGGAAGAGAGATCCTACATTGACGCGCATGAACACGTTATGGAGCTAAACATAGCTTGTCAGCTGCTGCTACAAGACGATAGTTGATTCTGAAAATACCTTCTCATCACCAATCGTGAACTTGCCCTGGGTCTGCTGGTTCTGCTCTGCGAATGCCTCCAGCTTCTTGATAGGCTCTGACTGCGACACGGCAAGACAGAACTTCACGTTGGCTTTGGTATACTCGTGGCCGGGCTGGTTTCATATCAGTATTCGATCGTAAAAATAGTCAAAAAATGCAACTTACAAAGACCTTAGTATCATCCGGCAAAGAGGCAAGCGTCTCGTTCAACGCCTTGTGCATTTCCGGGGCGGTGCCTTCAAAAAAGCGACCACAGCCTATAACATATGAGCATCAAGCCAAGTTGAACATAGTCTAAATTATCGAGGAGCGGCGAATACATACCTCCAATGAACAGGGTGTCACCCGTGAAAACGACGCGTTCCTCGCCATCCTGCATGAAATAGCAGATACTATCTTGGGTGTGGCAAGGCGTATGGAGAGCTTTGACGGAGATGCGCTCTCCGATCTTGAACGTCTCTCCATGCGCCGGGGTCTGCGTCACCGATTGACAATTCTTACCCCCGATAACGGGGAGTTTGCCGAAGATTTTGAGCTGAGACAGTTAGTCATTGCTTCCGTTCTATGGGGTAGGCAGAGATTGATCTCGCTCACCAATTCATTATTGCCGCCCGCGTGGTCCCAATGGCTTTTACAGTCAACATAGCTCATCCTCAACGGGAGTACCAAACTCACTGGTGAGTATTAACAATAGCTGTCAGATCAATCTTTCCATCTGCGATTTGGCTCTGCAGCACCGGTGCTACTCTGCATCCATCAGCGCATGTCAAACAACGAATACATGTTGAGAACGACAACTCACTCTGGCGGGTTAGCCGGATCAATGATTACAGACTGCTTGGTTGGCTCGTCCGTCACTAGGTAGGCATAGTTGTTGCCCTTCCCCGTCCCTGCGATGGTAAGCGAGAAGAACTACATAAAACCAGTATTGTTGATATTGGCCCGTCACTCACACATGGGAATCGATTGGACATGCATGGCTCGGATGTGTTGCGCCTGGGCTGGTACAGAACGATTCTGGAATCTAAATGGAGAACCGATACGGGGTCGGAACAATCTTGCGAAGCTCATGGATGATGAGAAGTTGATTTGAAATCAAACGAGCGCCGGTGGATGCGGGGAGAGCTTCAGTACGATGGTGATTGGGGATTACTTCATACCTGCTTGAACTGCCCGGCGGCGCTATTCCACATTGGGCAGGTCTCCAACGCAGCCTGAGGTTCCATACATCTGCCTAAGGCAAGTTCAGTAACCCCAAAGGATCTATACTACATGGCAATCTTCACTTGTCTTGAGATTGCAATGCTGGCGTTCCTTTTCAGTTACACAGGTATAAGTCAGCTCAGTCCTCACTGCGAACGGATCATCTTTGATGTCCACAGATCCATCGTTATAGTAAAGGGGATCCTCATTCACTGTCGTAGTCGTAGTCCAGAAATACAGATATGGCCGTAAGGCTAAGACAGTCTCTCTTCTTTTTTCTCCCCCCTATACGCCCTTTCGACATCATGCTTCAACATAAGCAACTCTGCTGACGACTCTATAGAATGATCATTCGACCACTGTTTAAAAGTTATAAACAATGGTCCAGCGATATGTTGACTGACCACCAATGCATACTCCAACGCAGGAGGCAATGGGCCACATATCCGAGGAACCCTCATCCAACACTGCATTTCAAACGACTTACATGTACACCACATCCAGCAGCTCTATAGGTGACGCCTATAGAACGGCTCAGTGCAAAAGGGCAGCGACCCAAAGTACCATTCCACGAGCCACTAACCTAGACGAGCCTAGTGGAAATAAACGAGCACAATCAATCTTGGGTATTCGACGACCATTTTCAGAAAATCACAAATCCGATAAATCGAGGCGGTGCCCGGGTCGCCTTCAAGATATCTCCCTCGCAGGCCTCGAACGGCATCCTGCCAATGGATTACCTGCTAGGCCAGGGGTCGACATAGCCTCGATCGTGCGGCAATACGCCTCCGGTCTCCCTCCACGCGCACAGGCTCACGTCCGCACACATACACCGCCCATTCCACCGTCGCAGACTTCGCCAGGCTTCATCCCCAGTCGATGGCGTTTTGTCCGCCCCATCGCTCGAACTGACCCGTCCACTGCGCCTGTGTGCACGAACACAGTGGCTATCGGATGAGATGGAGACGTGGGCGTGTCGGTTAAGCCCGTAGCAGGATGGAGCAGGCACATGGATGTGATAACCCATCTTGGACCAACCAACCGGGCAACTACCACTAGAATCAGAACCTGTTTCTCACTATACGAGGACGCACGATGCATCTTGACGAACAGCAATCAGCTAGTTCGCCGGCGGCGTCATTGGTGTCAAAGAATGGGGTACTACTGCCCCCCCCCCGTCTGCTCTTTTGGGGAGAGGTCGAGCCATTACGAAGCTACTTGCGCCCCAGGCGAGTGACTGAGCGAGTTCGCGCCTCAATTCTCGAGTATGGGGAGAACGGCACTGCAGATAGGCTACTATCTGGCAGCAGTGGTCCAAGCCCTTCGAGACTCTCAGGCTACTCTGGAACTGCACTGTTGGCCATGGCTGAACTGCATTAGACTAGGCAACGTATGAAGAGCCTTCTGCATACAGGTCCGAGCCAACGTTAAATGTACGGAGGGGGGAGATCCACCAGGCGTCATTCAGGATGGCTCTGCTGTTGAACGGTTCGCATGCGAAAACCAGATTCGGTGAGTTATCGTAGACGCTCTCGAATCCATCGGGAATACATAGCATAGACCATAGCAACGCCGAACTCGTATTCGAGGCTTTACGGGAGGTTTACATGTCGCATGGACTCGGGTCAATAAGCAAGCAGCCGGCGATGCCAACCACAAATCGGATCCTGCCAGATAGCTGCTAGCACTCCGTCTACAGAGAAGACCAGGACACACGGAAGATAAGGTGATAGGTTGGAGATTCATCCGTCAATGGAATAGCCTTAGCCATAGCCATGAGCCATAGGCCTTCCAACTCCTCCCAGATCTACACCCCAACGCTCGACGTACAGCTCGCTTCTCCCTTACTCTCTCTCTCTCTCGAGCGGGGTTTCTGCCTCGGACCACCAAAATATATAACCTAACACGTCCTATCACACGCAGCCGAAACGAAACACCTTACCTCCACCAAGTCCACCTCCCTACCAACCTATCTACTGTGGTAAATGCCGTGGATCCATGTATCAGATTAGCAAAAGAACACCAACCACAGCCGCGGATCCCCATCTCACGCTGCAAGAAGGGGCCAAGGCAGCACAGACAACAAGCAACAAAAAGTCGAGAGCAACAAATCGGATGCTATGCTCCACGCCGGGGCATACATATGCATAGTACATGCCAATGCCAGTAATTGCCTCGTCCATCCATTTCCCTTCCCTTCCCTTCCTTCCTTCCCTCCCCCATGCAGTCGACATCACGCACACGTATCATTCAAACTTGTGTCCCCCCCGCACACAACAGCTAAGGCCGCTCATCATACATGTGACAACCATCTGAATCAAAACATGCCCAGATCGAGATAACTAGTATTATCTTGTATTATGAAAATAGAGAGAGAGAAAAAAAAAGAAAAAAAAGAATGAAGTTCTAGACAACGCTCAATCCTGGTGCCTAGACACATCGTGGCTATGACATGAGGGGCACACGGGGGGAACTTACGCGGTCATCTGGAGCCTTGGAGCCTGAGCCTAGGAAGCCATCTGTTGTCCCATACCTACTATACTACTACTATACTACACAGTACTACTAGTACTTGCTTCCTGCCGGACATACCACGTCCGATACATTCAAACAAACAAACAACTACCGTCCCTTAACCCACGGGTCTCCGACCACGATCAGCAACAGCAACAGCTAAAACCAGCTAGCGAAGCTACCCTAGTAGTAGATACCACCAACCTAACTACTACTAGTAGACGTACCCTAGGTAGCAGTGTTTGCCACACGTACACGTATGACAAGTCTGACCCAGGGACCACACTAAACTAAAGCACCCTCAGCAGATGGCAAAACAAAAACGGGGAAACCAAAACGGTCATCAGACAAGTTCCAATGGAACCTCCAGGATATCAAAACCAAGACCCAAGACCCGAATCAAAATGGAATAGTTCTAATCTAAATCGAATTGCGCGAACTGCATCCCATTCCATTCATCCTGGTTAAAAAAAAAAAAAAAAAAAAAAGAAGGAAAGTTAAAGTGCTGTGCATAATGATATTGAAGTAGAGTTCAATAAGCCGATCCCATAGTCTCGTTCGTTTCACATCCCATTAATGAATCATAGACTACTACAGAACTCAATAGTTGGCCAGATTTGAAAGCCTCGCGAAGTCGATAGATAGTCCTAGTCCACGGAAATAGGTTGTGGGAGCGATCATCGCAAAACGTGCCAGTTTGCCAGCCACCGAAATAAATTCAGGCTCCACAGCCCTACTCACTCACTAATAAAAGAAGCCAAGTAATCCGACGGGCCCTGTCTTAAACCAGTCGTGTTATTATTTCCCTGGGAAATACGGATATATTCGATTTTGGGTTTTGATTTTAATGGGCTTTGGCATTGTTATGGTTATTGTTATTTTTGCCCCCCTCAAGTCCCAAGTCCTGTGGCTAGTCGAGTTAATTATTCACTAGATGAGTAGTTAGTTAGTAGACTATCTCCGGAGGATTTTCTAAGCATCCTTCTTTCTAGTCTAGTCTTTTCTTTTCTTTTCTTTGGATTCATCTGATTTGATTTCATGTAAGCCGAGGAAAGGAGAAGGTGAAACTAGGGCCTGCGAGGTAAGCATGCACGCCCACAGTTCACAACCGGACCCCTGTTCGGTTCGATATGAGAACATCAGATTCAATGGAGTTGCTTCGTGGTCTTTTCTGACCTGTTCCCTTGATTTCTTAGTAAGATACTGTCGTGAACTAAGTTCATAGTGAGCTAGCTCAGCAGGATCCCCATATAATTCAAACTTAGAAAAATTCAACCGTCATAAGCCCATACACAATTTTCGGTCCACCCCCCTCTTTAATTCGGGATCGAAGAAATACTCTCGGGGAATTTACAAAATTAAATCATAAAAATAATCAGAATAAAAGATCGAAGAGGCAAAGTACCGGGACCATGGAAGGAAAAGCAAGCGGGCCCAAACCCCAACGGAAGTAGCGGCTATCCGGACCCAGATTTAGACTCAGGTCAGCCATGTGGCTTTTTGGGATCCGTAATCCGTAGCCAGGCGAAGAGCTCCATCCAAGACAGAAAACAGTAGTCCAGACGAAGGTGCAGAAACTAGATGGAGATGAAGATGGAGACGGAGACTGGAGAACGAGAGGCGTGTGCGAGACTGGCAACTGTGGTAGACTAAGATATCTTTACTCGGCCGATGAGGTTTTGCCCAATGTACTGCGGTGCTTAGACGTATCTGGACTAGGTTGGGTGAAATTGGTGTGGGCTGAGAAGTATATTCAGTAGAAACGATGGCGGCGGTGGATCCCTCCCCTTGGGTTGGATGGTCCTTGGAGGATACCTCCGTCGTCCATACCTTCCGAAGGACGAGAGATAGGCTTGGGATGAGACAGGACTAGCTATCGCTTACTCTTTACCCGTTGAGGGGAATGGCGTGCAAGTGGTCTAAGGTACACCCGGCACAGGGTTGGTTGGTGAACTTAATGCTCCTAGAATCTTGGCCCCTTTAGTGGGAGAGTAAAATTCGGGTCCACTTAACGGTCAGGCGATTTGGGGTTATTGGTTGTTGGGGGATTTTTTTGGTGGAGCTGGTCTTGTGTGGAAATATTTGCCTGGGGGGATAGTTGACTAAAGCTGTGGTTACGGGTAGTTAACTCAGTGAGGAGTCCGTCAGTCGGTCTTTTCGGGGAGGCTGTGTGGAAAGAGGGAAAAAAAAATATATAATAAAAAATGCCTAGGTCCAAATCCCCACTGCAAGACAAACTTTTGCGACTGCAATACTTACATTCTGCCCCGTGCTCCACTTTGATCTACCGTGACACTGCAGCTCAGGATCTTAGGTACCGATAAATTTGTGGCCCTTTTGACGATGATGCCTGTTTCGGGAAAACATCAGTGGGGACCCCGACTATCACTCATCAGGGATAGGTCGCAGGTGCATTTGTGTCCCAGTATCACATCTCCTGGGATTGGATTCCCAGTCGATCTTTCCATTGATAGGGGGATCTGTAGGAAGATCCAAAGGGCATGTGGCACGGCATTGGTGACATGGCTAAACGGGAACGGCTATGGAGGACGAAAGTGGAACGCACTTCGTATCCCTTGACGAAGTCGCGAGGAGGGTCATCTGCGGAGACCTTCGTAGTTAGTACATACATAGTAGTATTGGTCTCGAGAGGAGGGGTGCTGTGAATCTGTGCGAGTCAGCTAAGTATATTAAGTATCCATTCAATGAAGCACCGGACGCAATCACAGAGTCTGGTAGGAAAAGCAAAATCAAGTAAAACGGAAGGGAAGGGGGGGTAAAAAAAAAAAAAAAAGAAAAGAAAGGAACAGAAACGAAAGGGCAAGAAAAATTACACATAAGTGATGTGCACTGCACTATCACTCCTACTAAAGCAGAGCGTTAGGACACTAAGGTCATGTGGTTGCATCTCAATCTTTTGTCGGTCGGTATGTGCGGATTATCCTGCATACAGTCATTCTCATACCTGAGTCACACTTGTGGCCTGACTTTTAACTCAATCCATCCTGGTATGCAGCCTCTGGCACCGATATTTTTAGGTCCCCTGTTCGACTCCTTCCAAGGCAGCATTACATAAGGTGAATTATAACCTAATCAGGACAGAGGTAGGGTTCCAGACCGTCTGTTCCGTCGACCAGCCCAGCATCGACAAGTAATTCGAAGACCGCATTCTGACTGGTTGGCTGCCACCGTAGCACATTGGAACCTAACGAAGCACTGGCCACATTCTGTGATACTCAACCCATGGTACCTACTTTGCCCTGTACCCTAGATCGGAACCCATGCAAGCGCCCAGAATGCTGCAGCGTGGTAGGGTAGCAGCCGCCGAGATATGTGGTGCTGGCACCATGCATCCTGAATATTTCAATATAATTAGAATCCTGCTATCTCCCTTCACGTAACTTCGTTAAGGGGGTCACAAGTCCTGATCCCTCCTCCCGTCTT